CATATTTCCTGGATGCGCTTGCAGATTTCTTATATTTTTTCTTCTACCCTGAAGATGGAGGCGATACGTTCCTCCGAAACGTCGGTTAACACCACATATACACGGTGCCAAATCCCAGAAGACTGCTTTCTTCAGACGCCTTTTATGTTTACAAGATATTTTTATTCCTTGTGTAATCCAGTGGTCTTTTATTCTGCATAAGAAAACTAGCTTCAGAGGTATTTAGAATTATATATAAAAAAGAGTTAAACTTATAATTTGTGTCCTTATTTTTGAAAACAGGTTCCCACGTTTCATTTTCTAATAGATGTTGAAATTGAGAAATGGTTTCACTAGTTATTTTTCTGGCTCTCTGTTTCAGGGGTGCTAAATTTACTTCTGCAATAATATTATTTACTGTAAGAAACTGAGCATCATGGTAAGAGTGGCCGTTGACTGTAGGAGATGTACAACAAGAGCTTAACCTTGCATTATCTATAATGATATTATCAATGGCTGTGCTTGAGAAATTTTGAACTCTTGTTGCAAAATTTACTGAATGTGTGACAGATTGTATGTCCTTATTAAAGAGTTTACTTGTTTTTTCTGACTGCTTTCATTTAAATAGTTTATGTTTATGTCTCTACAGATTATAAACTCAGACTTTGGATTGTACAGATATTTTAAAGTTGCATCTAGTCTCGTTAGAAATTCATTAACCTCTCCTGAAGGGGCTCTGTACAGGCTTAATACAATTAGGTGAGATGTTTTAGTTACTAGCTGTATTGCACAGATTTCAAAGTCTTGCTCCTTGCAGTGATGAGAAATATCAATTTTACTGAAATGTAGATCTGTTTTAACAAAAATACACTCCTCCCCTCTGTAGGCTCTTTTGGCAAAAACTTGAGCCTAACAGGTAACCATTCATTGAGAGGAGCAGCAATTCCTGTTCAACCCTGTGATGTTCACTTAGACATAATATGTGAGGGTTTATGTTGTCTTATTTCAAAAGAGTGTAGTAATTCATCACTTTTGCTTCTCAAGCCTCTGATATTTTGGTGAAAGATATTTATTGAATTTAATGTTTCTGCATTTTGTCTGTGAATATCCAAGACTGCTGGACTGCAGTTAATATATGTTAGGCATCTTGGTGCTTTTGAATTTTATCTAAAAAAGGAGATGCCCTAGCATTGGTTATAACAGTAATATCGCTTATACCTGACGCATGACCACCAACAACCCTCTCAGCAATAAGCTGTGTGAGCCTCTTCTTGCCTCGAGAGCTCAGGTGCAGGCCATGCGATGTGTAATGTGTATGGAATATGATCCATAGAGTGGAGTAATTTTTTGTATGTTATGAAGTAATTGAAAGTAACTCACACAAACTTTTAATTGACACTAATAAGGAGGTTGGTCTATAAGTAAACGCAGATAGAACTAAATATATGTTGCTGTCTCGTCACCAGAATGCAGGCCAAAATCGTGACATAAAGATAGGAAACGTGTTTTGAAAATGTGGCACAGTTCAGTTGTTTGGGAACAACTATAGCAAATTAAAACCTGATTCAGGAGGAAATTAAGAAGACAAATACAAATCACTCCGTCCAATGTGACATAAAAGTTTTACTACATGAAAACCTGTCAACCCTTACATGTTTCGGTCCTCATGGACCATCTTCGGAGGGAACATCATTACAAGCTGGAAACTACTATCACAGTAGGTGTTTTAATTTAATTACATACACTTGTCCTATAATGCACAGTACGCATAAAATCAAACGTTTCACAATCACAGCATCTTCCTGGTATTGTAAAGTTTTTCAAAAAAGTTTTCTAGATGTTGTTTAAAAACTTATTGTCAATAGTTAAAATCTTATAAACCACGTAGGTTCGCGTCCGTACTCCTATCATCCTTGTATGGGGCAGATTTTGTGCCGCTGTCTATCTTTATAAGGAGGCTCTCAATGTCGTCCAGGGTTTGTTCGTGGCTAGCTGTGTTGTTACCACAGCAGCACAAAATCTGCCCCATACAAGAAGGACGCTAGGAGTACGGACACGAACCTACGTGGTTTATAAAATTTTAACTATTGACAATAAGTTTTTAAACAACATCTAGAAAACTTTTTTGAAAAACTTTACAATACCAGGAAGCTGCTGTGATTGTGAAACGTTTGATTTTATGCGTACTGTGCATTATAGGACAAGTGTATGTAATTAAATTAAAACACCTACTGTGATAGTAGTTTCCAGCTTGTAATGATGTTCCCTCCGAAGATGGTCCATGAGGACCGAAACATGTAAGGGTTGACAGGTTTTCATGTAGTAAAACTTTTATGTCACATTGGACGGAGTAATTTGAATTTGTAATTGTTACCGTGATGGACCAGAATGAAACAAATCAAATTAAGGAGAGACTGAACTTGGGTAATGGTTACTACCCTTCAGTTCAGAACCTTTTGTCTTCTTGTCTGCTGTCTAGAAACATAAAAATTAGAATATACAAAACTGTAATTTTTGCCTGTGGTTCTGTATGGGTGTGAAACCTGGTCTCTGACTATAAGGGAGGAACATAGACTGAGGGTGTTTGAGAACAGGGTGCTGAGGAGAATATTTGGACCGAAGAGAGATGAAGTGACAGGAGGTTTGAGTAAACTTCATAATGAGGAGCTTCATAACTTGTGCTCTTCTCCAAGCTCAGTTAAAATGATGAAGTCAAGGAGGATGGGATGGGCAGGGCATGTAGCAGGAATTTGGGAGAGGAAGAATGCATATAAGATATTGGTGGGAAAGCTGGATGGAAGAAGACCAAAATGTAGGAGGGTGGACAGTATTAAAATTGATCTTAGAGAGAGTGAGAGAGAGATAGGATGGGATGTTGTGAATTGGATTAATCTAGCTGAGGAAAGGGACCAGTGGAGGGCTCTTGTAAACATGGTCATGAACCTGCGGGTTCTGTAAAATGCTGGGAAGTTCTTGAGTAGCTGCACAATTGGCAGCTTCCCAAGAAGGGCTCAGCTCCATGAGTGAGTGATCAGTGAGTGAATTGAAAGTAACTTTAACATGTTGTGGTTTAGATTATCATAATTGTGTGCTGCCATCTGGAAAAAGCAGTGTGACTTCAGATCTCTCCTTACTGCATGTTGAACCATTCTGTATGTAATTGGGATGGTTTTGTTTTTCCCCCAAACTTTTTCAGTTCTGGCTCCTTGTTTGAGCTGCTCAGGCTGGGACTATGTTACTGCAACTGGTCTGACAGGAATGCCAATAGTTAGCAGTTTATTTTAATTCAGAAGAGCACAGCAGTGAAAAGACTGAGATATGTGCTAGACCATGTTGCACCAGTGTGTTCTCATCACACTTTCATTGGTCATTCAGTTGGACACTGTTGTAAGACTTTACAATACTCCACAGTGTTGCGTTATTGTGCACTTTGTTTCACAGTATAGACATTTTTGTATATGCTGTCACTAATATGGGCAGACAGTGTTCTAATAATAATATGACCTGTTGCAGATGAACATTGACAAGAAGCAGGATGACTTCAGGCCACGCCCATATCAGGAGCAGCTGATGAACATCGCAAAGGTGCAGAACACCATCATTTACCTCCCAACAGGTTCAGGAAAAACATTCATAGCAGTGATGCTTATCAAGGAAATGTCATCCAGCCTTGACAAGTGAGTTTTTGTTGGGTTTTTTTTTTCCTTTTTTTTTTCCTTGCTTCTGTTTAGTTACCAGTTTTATGTATTTATCTTTTATTTCAGGGGCAAGCACACCTTCTTTGTGGTAAATACAGTGGCACTAGTGAGTCAACAGGCTGCATACATCAGGCGGCACTCACATCACAGTGTGGGGGAGTACTCTGGGGATCTGAATGTGGACTTATGGTCCAAAGAGAAGTGGCAGGAGGAGTTGTTAGGCCATCAGGTAAGGTGAGCAGATGAAGGTGTTCTGCAGTTTGCCTCTGTGGTGACTGGTGTGCTATACCTGTGCTGTGCTTGTTGTGCAGATCATGGTGATGACATGTCAGATATTCCTGAACCTTCTGCTGCATGGTTACATAAAGTTGTCGGATATAAACTTGCTCATATTTGACGAGTGCCACCATGCCGTAAATGACCAACCGATGCGACAGGTTATGCAGCAGTTTGAGCATTGCCCTCCAGAACTGCAGCCTCGTATTCTTGGACTGACAGCCACCCTGCTTAACAGCAACTGTAAACCTGAACGTGTCGATGAAGAGGTCCGGTCCCTTGAGACAACGTTCCTGAGCAAGGTGGCTACATGTGAGAACATGCCTCTCGTGGACAGGTATGAGTTCTTGTATTACCTCTCATTGACATCTGTGTTTAGCCAGAGATTGAGTTTACTCTTGTTGCCTGCAGGTACTCTACAAATCCTACTGAGAAGGTGGTGAAGTATAGCATAGATAAGAAGACCCCAGGCCTGTCAGTTCTGGAGAAGGGGCTTAAACTATTGAAGAATATTCAGGAGTTTGTGCAAAGCATCCAGTTTGAATGTGACCAAGTTGTGCCACCTCATGAACGACCACCCAACACAGTGCTCATGGACACAAGTCAGGGGAAGATGAACAAGAAGCTAAAGAATCTTCTCACAGATGTTATTTTTCACATTGAGATGCTGGGGATGTTTGGTGGCAGTCAGGCATGCCTTGCGCACATCATACAGTTTGAGCGCTTGCGCAAGAAGGCACAGGAGAGCCTCACGAAAAATGTGTTCATGGCACTGATCACTACCCTTGTGGCAGTGAGGTAATGTAACCTTAATGAGAGAACACAACAATAGTAAATACATGGTCTGCCAACAGAAAACACTTGGATTTCAGGCACCTATAGCTTAGGAATGGAAACAGATATTTGGGTGTAACATTTGAGGTTTTCATGGTGGTGACTATGAAGAAAGCCTTCTTCTGGGTGGCACTGTGTAGAAATTGTGTTAACCGACGTTTCAGAGGAACATATCGCCTCCGTCTTAAGGATAGAAGACGAAGAAATCCGCAAGCGAACCAGCAGAGCAGGTGCAACAGACTGAGTCCAGTCGAGTAAACACAGCTGTATAAGAGAAGGAGAGAAGGAGTGTGGCTACATGGGGAAGTAGTAGAGAAGGGGGGAGGAAGGATCTGGTGGAATAGCCAGCAGGTAGTGCGCCAGAGCCCAGAGTGAACATCAGATCAATGGGCCTGCCTCCAAAGAAATTATCTAGTTTCCTCCGGCCAGCCAAAGATAGCCTGGGACTAAGGACACCAGCTGTATACAGTATCCCATGCGAGTGCGGCAAGATCTATATTGGGCAGACAGGCCATTCTGTGGACACGAGGTTTTTTTTATTGCTCGTGGGGTGGGACTAAGTCCCTGTACTGCAGCCACTTCTGGCCTTTTGTACCAGCCCCAGGTGATAGGTGAGGGTGATTGTGGAGCAATTGGTGGAATTAAGATTGGCAGGGGAGACCGAAGTACTCGGAGGAAACCTGCCCCAGTGCCACTTTGTCCACCACAAATACCACTTGACCTGAACCGGGTTGCCGAGGTGGGAAGACATCAACTAGCCGCTTGAGCTGTGGCGTGCCCTGGACACAAGGTTGAAGGAGCATCAGCGGCACATCCGTCTCGAACATCCAGACAAGTCGGCTGTTGCTGAACACAGCATCGATTTGGGACACCGCATTCAGCTTCAGAATACCTCCATCCTCGCTGCTAAGACCTGTTATATGGATCGCATCATTAGGGAGGCCATTGAGATTGAACTCCATCCTGACAATGTGAACAGAGAGGTGGCGTTGTGTCTCAGCAAGTCATGGAAGCCTCTCATCTGTTCCCTCAAGTAACCTCCGAAATACAGCAGACACTATAGGCCACTCAGGTCCATCGCAGCCCCCGAGCTACAGGGCTAATGCCCTCCATTTAACCTTCCCTTCTCTCCCCCTAACACATACTCTATACCAGCTCTGGCGCACTACCTGCTGGCTATTCCACCAGACCCTTCCCCTCCCCCTCTCTACTATTTCCATATGTAGTCACACTCTCTCCTTCTCTTATACAGCTGTGTTTACTCGACTGTACTCAGTCTGTTGCACCTGCTCTACTGGTTTGCCCACGGATTTCTTCTTGTCTTCTACCCTGAAGATGGAGGCGATACGTTCCTCCAAAACATCGGTTAACACAATTTATACACAGCGCCACATCCCAAAAGACGGTTTTCTTCAGGTAGTCCACCTCTTGCCAGAGGCATAAGATCAAGAGAACAAGGGAGCCACACAATTGTTTTCCTATCTGTTAGCTTGTGAAATATGCATGCAAACAACCACGGACATGATCATAATGAAGGGGTGCACAATTCAGTTGAATAATGCGGTAGTGATGGTGAGGGAGGCGGCGGCAGCAGCATTTTCCAGTGTCTCTAAGAATTAATTGCTTTTAATGATGTCATCATTGAAGAAAAACATGCCAGTGACTTGTGTGTCAGCACACATTGCTGTTTCACTTTAGGACTGTGCCATTCATGTTCTAAATGTTCTCTGGGAGACTAACTGCCCCAGATGATGCAGTTATAGTGATTGACATGTCCAGGTGTGTGAAATTTTGCTTCAGCAGTGAAGATGATGTGTGTTGAATAATGATGATTGGAAATTTGTGCATTCATGTCTACAACAGACTGTGATCTAAGCTGTTTATCACAAGCTGTAAGTTTCTGGACTGCCTGTAATTTCTGTGGTTTTAGATGTAGGCTGTTCTGAAGAATTCTGTGGACTGTTGTTTACAGTGTCTGTAACTGTGCACTTGTTCTGGTGGTTAACTTCTTTGAACTCCATATGCAAGCATGGCTAACACAATCCACACCTTGTCTCTTGTCATCTGGTGGTTTCACACCATGTCCAAATTCATGAAGTCGAATAATGAATTCAAGTTTTGCATAACATAACATGATCTGTGCTTTCTGTTGGATGGTAGACATTGCACTGACTTTGCAAAACATGTCCTCACAGCTGCTGTCTTTTAACTGCAGCTGGGCTGTTCACATAACTGGTGTCAGTAAACCTGTTTGAATTTATCCTGACTCTGCAAGTACCAGTGTATTTTTGGTTCTTGAGTTGCAGGTGTTTGAAATCCCGGCAGTGTTCTTGCAGACCTTTTATCTGAAAACTTTTATGGTCAAGAGAGACAAAGTGAAAAATGGAGAAAATTGCATAACAAGGAACTTTGTAATTTGTGCACATTATAAAGTTTAATCACTCAGGTTGTAGCACATTGAAAAGAGGAACAAAACATACATTAAGAATTTTCATGTACTTTTCACCACCTGACATCTATAATAATGCGTGCTGTATGGTGTCTCAGGAAGCTGTTTGAGGATGAAATGTCTGACTGCGTGGTGAAGTCGCAAATCCACAAATACTCGTCCTACAAGGTGCTGACTCTGTTGGAAGTGCTGAGAAGTGCAATGCCAAAGGAGACTGTTAATGATGACTCTGGTGGCAGTGTCAATGAACTCAGTGATGATTATGTGTCACGCATCCTTGCGCATGAGAAGAAGAAGATGAAGCCCTGTGCCATTGTGTTTGTCGAACGGCGATTCACAGCCAAGGTCCTATGCTTGTTGCTTAAGGTAAGGACATTGACATATTAGAGCCACCAAATGGAGACCATAGGCGAAATTATAGATTTATACAGAATTTCAGTTTGAAAACCTGAAGGTACGAGTATTACATGGCATAGATTTGATGATTACGTTGAATGGACATTATGTAAGTAGTATATGAGGGTACATCCCCACCCATTGCATCTCCCACCATCCCAGGCTGTCCACACTCCTCATTTTTATCACACAAAGTGAGTTTTGCTTGTGATCCTTACAGTTTATCCATAAGTGTCTGTGTTATTTATGCCAAATATGGTTCCCCAATAAGTGAAAGTGATTGTAAGAAATATTGATAGACCAAAGGAAGTAAGGACAGCAAAGTGTGGCTGCAAGCTGCAGTATTTCATTGTGTTAACTATGAGAAAGTGAACATGAATAGAATAATGCAGTTTTATTTGTAACAATAAATATTGTAAACAAGTAATACTGACCTTATTTTAATGCATATTTACTATTAAAACTTATGTTAAAAAGATTGGTGGATTTTTGTGGGACTCTTGAATGAGTTCATGAGTTTCATTTGTAAAGTAATGGGAATATCATTTTTGATTTATGGATTTTCACCTTAGAAACAGTTTTCATGGAACAATTTACCTTCATTCCTGTAATTTGGATGCCTGATTTTTTCAAATTACTTGCTACAAACATTCTATAAATTTTGTGCTAATGCGGACATTTATCAGCATATCTTGTAAACACTGTCGTCAGAATTGTTGTTTCAGTATGTCATTGCCCTTGGTTTCAGCAGCGCTTGAGCTAATGATAATGAGCAGTTTTCTCAGGCTAGTGTTTCTTTTGTGGTGTGATGTCATGAACTTATATCTTCAGTATGCAGGGACCAACATTCTAAGCATAGAGTGGCTGTAACAGTGTTTGTGTGTGTGTTCAGGCTCTAAAGGAGGCGGACAGCGATTTTGATTACATCAACCCAGACTTCATCGTTGGGTTCAATAATAACCCTTTTAATGATACAAGGGAAGGTGCTTTGGAAAAGAAATGGAACCGGGACTGCATGAGGAGGTAGGAGACTAAGTTCATAAAATACACTTCACCAATTTTAAATCTTCAGTTGCTTGTAACCTTTGCTGGCAGTGTGGTGCACCATTGTGACAGCACATGTGCGCAGTCCAGCTGGCCATGTCATGCATTTTCTCAGTTAAATGTGGCCACCAACCTTGTGGCATGTGGATCCTGGCCCTGGCAACTGTATGGGTAGTCGGGCATGGCCGGCTGTGAAGTGAGTGATATATATTTGAGGTATCTAGGTTTTATGTTGATTTCCTTAGTTAATCCAAATTTGTTTTTTGGTGAACTCTGTCAGTGAGACACATTGTTGTTATGCTAGGGAGTGCTGTGTGCGTAACGCAGTTACCCTTGGCAGGCAGTGGACATGTGGCGCCGTCAGAAGGTTAGTGCCAATATTTGTGTTTGTGATGCTGTTTAGAGGTTTCCCTTGGTGCAGCAAGAGACTGCAGCTTGTGTGCTGTGTCTGACGATGTCATGTGTTGTCTTGGGTATCCCCTGTGGAATCTGAGTGGAGGATGGGCCCCAGTGTTAAGTGTTGTTGGTAGTCAGCACAGTTCAGTTATACACGTGGAGTCTTTGTTACCACAGAAATCAATCTTGTACCCTGTAGTTAAGATTATACATGCAGAGTCACCATACCTGTAGATGTCATAACCTAGCATAGTAATGTGATCACCAGATCTGTTAACACTGACTTTGGTGGTGGGTGTTCACTTGGTACCACTTTGGTTGTCAGGTTTTTGAGAGGTCAAACAAACGTGCTAGTGGCATCTGACGTGCTGGAGGAAGGTATTGATATTCAGAAGTGCAACCTCGTTGTAAAGTTTGATGTGCCAAGGAACTACCGTTCGTACATTCAGTCAAAGGGAAGAGCACGCCACCGAAGCAGCCAGTATATCATGATGGTGCCTTGTATCACCACTGGGGTCCCATTCAACACAAAATACAACATCTACAGGGCCACAGAGAATGCAATGCAGACTGTAAGTACAATTTGACATATCTGGACTTTAGTTGTGTTAATCTGTTGCCTTGGAAGACTGTGTATTGTTAACCTCTTCACATGAACCTGTGAATTGATAAGTTACATTGAAATATATGATATCATGAATCATGTTAGTGAAATTTAATAATAGGTACAACGGGATGTGAAGCCAGTGAGCTGGCAGGCTGTCTGCTTTGAGCCACTCTGAGCAATCCTGTGGCTGGGGCAGCTGTTTCACAAGCAAACTAGCCTGCAAATATATGCAAGCACAAGCGCCCATTCTTCTCCCAGGATATCAGTGCGTTCCTTGTCAGCATCACAGTATACGAGGGGGTACCCAAAAGAAATTGAACTAATTTTTTTTTAACTTATTTATTCAAATTTTAAGCACAAACCTTCAATCCCCTTCAAAGTACTCTCCACTTACACTAATACACTTGTCTAGTCTTTTATTCCATTTTTCAAAACATTGTCTAAATTCATCTTTTGAGATGCTTGACAGTGCCTCCATCGTTTTTTCCTTTCATGTCTCTTTTCATTTGAGGAAACAAAAAGAAGGCGCACGGGCAAGGTCGGGTGAGTATGGAGGGTGAGGAACAGGGGTCATACCATTTTTGGTCAAGAATTGTCGTACGGACAGGGCGATGTGAGCAGGGGCATTGTCATGATGGAAAAACCAGTCACCCAACTGGCACAAATCTGGCTGCTGAGCTCCAAGTCACTCCCGACAGCTCCACAATTTCTTCAATGGTCCATTGTCGATCTTCCTTGATGATTTCACGAATTTTTTCAACATTTTCATGTGTTCGGGCTGTGGAAGGACGACCAGAACGAGGTTTGTCATCAGTTGACATTTCACCGTTTTTGAAACAGGAAAACCACTCAAACACTTGAGTTTTCCCCATAGCATCGTCCTTGTATGCCGTTTTTAACATTTCAAGAGTTTCTGTTCCACTTTTCCCGAGCAAAAAGCAGAATTTCACTGCTGCACGCTGTTCACGAAAATCAGCCTAGTTCAGTTTCTTTTGGGTACCCCATCGTACAGTGCCAAGAACTTCAAAGGTGGAGTAGTACTAAAATTAAGAAATTAAAGTTTAGTTGTGCAATAAAAAGATATTTGGGAATGAAGATTTGAATCACATCAAAAAACTCTTCTACAATGTATGCACATCACTTCAACAGCCATGGCTACTATACACATTGGCAGAAGCAGTGGTAAATTTCATAATATCCTTAGGGGGTGTTTAGGCTTGCAGTAGGAACAGGATCTGCAACGAATTTATATTATGTGTGTGTGTGTGTTAGACAAGTCTGAATTGTGACAGTGGCAGTAATTTCTGTCTCGCTCCAATATCACACACACTCCATTTAGAACTGAAGGTAGTTACTGCTTGCTAACTCTGTCCATACTCAAGCTTTATTAAGCTTTCAGGAAGCTTCCTGTTTTCATGGAACTCTGAGTCTGCCACCATCTCTATAAAAGCCCCATTCTGTGGTGTGAATAACTTGTGGACGGTCCTGTTACAGTTGCTCATTGGGCGCACAGAGGGATGCCAGGAGCCGGACAACCTGGAAATTGCCACAGAGCAGTATGACCATTTGGCCCCTCCATTTCTGACGTCCTGCTCAAAGGTGACTCTTGCATCTGCCATTCCCCTGATCAATTGGTAAGGACATCTCATAGCATGTGCCCAAGCACCCAGATTATAGCAGAGACAGTTGGAGTGTGTGCAATAGGTGACGTTATGTTGCAGGTACTGCTCCATGCTGCCTCAAGATAAGTTTACACAGCTGGCACCATTGTGGTACCTAGGGAAAGGTAAAGAGAAGTGCACTAGAATTGTGTTTCTTCAGCTGCCAATGAACAGTCCATTGCGAGAACTTGTTCAGGTGTGTTCACCCTTTATAGCTCAGTTGTAACTGCTTAAACATTAAAAACTCTGCATTATGTCTGTCCAGACAGCATGTGTGTATGTCTCATATGATTCTCACGATAAATAGCACTGACCAGTTATGTTTGTTGTGGAGACTTGTCATGTTTTCTGTGAGGTGGAACTGAGTATTTAAATATCATTCAGACGAACTTGGTCTTCAAAGGATGTCTTTGTTTGCTCTTGTTGCTGAATGCTTGATTACATTTCTGTTCTCAAGGGAAACGCAATGCCAACAAAGAAGCTGGCAAAGCGATCCGTTGCTTTGGAGACCTGCATAAAGCTGTACAAAATGGGCGAGCTCAATGAACACTTGCTGCCTCGTGATCGTCAGGAAACCCTGTTGACTTGTCCTGAACTCTTCCCCCTGTTTAGGGAAGTAGAAATGGAAGATGGTCCACGACCTGGAACCAAGAAGAGCAAGCAAGTTTATCGCAAGGAAGTGAGTTCACTGTCTCATTTACTTGGGGTAGTGTCTGTTTCACCTCAATATCACTGTTGAATTATTTTCATTGTTGCAAAGTTTGTAATGAATATGTTCCTGACATTTGTGAAAGCCAGTCTCATTACTTACTCACTCATGGAGCAGAGACCTTTTTGAGAAGCTGCCAATTGTGTAGCTACTCAAGAACTTCCCAGAATCTTATCTAACCCAAAGGTTCATTACCATATTCACAAGAGCCCTCCACTTGTTCCTATCCTGAGTCAGATCAATCCAATCCATATCATCCCATCCTGTCTCTAAGATACATTTTAATATTTTCCAACCACCTACACTTTGGTCTTCCTAATGGTCTCTTTCCACCTGGCTTTCCCACCAATATCCTATATGCATTCCTCTTCCCCCTCATTTGCCCTACATGCCCTGCCCATCTCATCCTCCTTGACTTGATCATTCTGATTGTACTTGGAGAAGAGTACAAGTTATGAAGCTCCTCATTGTGCAGTTTTGTTCAGCCTCCCATCTCATCATCTCTCTTCAGTCCAAATATTCTCCTCAACACCCTGTTCTCAAACACCCTCAGTCTATGATCCATCCTTAATGTCACAGACCAATTTTCACACCCATACAGGGTGTGAAAATATCACCCACCAATATCCTATATGCATTCCTCTTCCCCCTCATTTGCCCTACATGCCCTGCCCATCTCATCCTCCTTGACCTGATCATTCTGATTGTACTTGGAGAAGAGTACAAGTTATGAAGCTCCTCATTGTGCAGTTTTCTTCAGCCTCCCATCACATCATCTCTGTTCAGTCCAAATATTCTCCTCAACACCCTGTTCTCAAACACCCTCAGTCTATGATCCTTCCTTAATGTCACAGACAAATTTTCACACCCATACAGGACCATAGGCAAAATTATAGTTTTGTATATTCTAATTTTTATGTTTTTTGACAGCAGACGAGAAGACACAAGGTTCTGGACTGAATGGTAGTAAGCATTACCTGAATTTAGTCTCCTCTTAATTTCCTCCTGAATCAGGTTTTGATTTGTTATAGTTGATCCTAGATATCTGGACTGTGCCACATTTTCAAAACCTCTGTTCGCTGTCTTTATGTCATGATTTTGCCCTGCAATCTGGTGATGAGACAGTAACATACACTTAGTTTTCTCTGTGTTTACTACTAGACCAACCTCCTTACTAGTGTCAGTTAAAGTTTCTGTGCTTTTCATTATGGTACAGGGTGGGGCGCAGAAGCTTCCTTTTTTGAAGGCGAATAAAAGAAAAATTATTGCTGATAGACAAAATTTATGTTTAGCTAATGAAATAACACACTTTAAAGTTTTAAATCATGTAGTTTTAAACAAAATATCTTGAAGGTGGTGGCCACCATTCTCTATGCACGGATGCAACCGTTTTCTGAAGTTCCCCTCTGCATGTTCCAACATGTGCACCAGAATTTGGGCTACTTCCTGCCGAATAACATTCTTCAGCTGAAGCAGGTTTGTGGGGCAATGTTTAAAACCTCTGCCTTGAGGTACCCCCATAAAAAAAATCACAGGGCATTGGATCAGGTGAGTGCACTGCCCACGGGATGTCACCTCGAAGTGAGATGAGCCATCTGGGGAACTTTGCCCTCAGAACTGTCATCGAAGCTCGGGCTGTGTGGGCCGTGGCACCATCCTGTTGGAACCAGACATTTCCTAGATGCATTTTTTCAAGAGCTGGTTCAAAAAAGATCTCAAAATCGACTGTCGAATTGCCTCCACATTTTCTGTCGTCATAACGGTCCGTTGTCATCCTGATGATTTTTTCACCACACTCCCAGTTGTCCTAAAGTTCTCTACCCACAAAACAATCAATTTCCGGTCGGGAACCAGACCTCTGGGCTTAATTCCGAAGTGAGTATGGAACGCACACTGCTCACTCATCCACCTCATATTTCCTACTGAGGGGTATTAGAGAGAAACTTCCATGACTGCTGCGTTCGCCGAGCCTATCCCCACTTTTCTGTGACCTCCCCTCCCTTCACAGTGCCTCTTCACAAAAAGGAAGTTTCTGCACCAGTAGATTCACATCATCAGCATAGGCCAACAGCTAATGTGACCCGTTTAATTTCAGTCCCACCTGGTTTCCCTGGACCTTCCTAATGGCATATTATAAAGCAAAGTTTAAAAGCAGTGGCAATAAAGCATCTCCAGTCTGTATAGGAAAATTACCAGACAAATGTTTACTTATACGGATTTCACTGTATGCTTTGTTTAAACACATTTTAATCGGCCTAACTGGTTTCATGGGTACCCCAAACTCTATCAGAATATTGTACAATACTTCCCTCCTAAGTGAATCGTAGGCTTTCTTGAAGTCTATGAGTAGCTGATGTACTGTCTCATTGTACTTCAATTTTTTCTCTCCAGTATCTGACGAATGCAAAGGATCTGATCAGTAGTTGAGTGTTACATCAAAACTCACACTGATGATGCCCAGTAATTTCATCTATGTATGGACTTAACCTTGAGAGAGGAATATTGGATAAAATTTTGTATGAAGGTGATAGCAATTATATCCCCCCATAATTACTACAGTCAATATTTTCACCTTTCTTGTGAACTGGTACAATAATAGACTCCTTCCACTGATCAGACAAATTTTCCATATTCCAAATGGAATTAGCTTATGGATCTTATAACTTAATATTTCACCTCCTGCTTGAATAAATTCTGCCAGAATTTGATCAGTGCCTGGTGCTTTATACCTTTTCAATTTTGCAGTAGGAATTTCAGCCTCAAAAGGGCTAGGATCAAGAACTGACAGCTCAGCTGTAAATATTTCTGCCTCACATCACTGACCCTATGTACACTCACTAACTGAGAGATGTAGTTCTTCCATCTGTTCAAAATGTTGTGGGAATCTGCAGACAGATCACCATTCTCATCTTTCACTAAGTTACTTTTAGGTTGCTAAACCCTCTTAAAGTCATTTATTCCTCTATATGGGTTTCTATGTTCTTGTTCTTGTTGTTAGTTGGAAGCCCATCAATTTTGTCTTTGAGATATTCCCTCTTTTTGTTCCTGAAATGCCTTCTGGTTTCACATCTTATATTGTTCAGATTATCCCCATTTATTTTGCTTGGATTCGTAACTACTGCAGTTTGGCCTGTTTCCTTTGGTCTAATAATTCTGAGCATCCTTCATCGAACCATGGCTTATGCTTCTTCAGTTCATAATAACCTAGACTCTCTTTGGCAGAAGTCTGACATTCTCTCTAACAGTTTCCCAAACTCCATTAAAATCCACCTCAGTTTCTAAGTTTTCCAAAGCTGCGAATGTATTTCAAGTTTCAGTGTGATGCTGCTCTTTATCCTCTATCTTGTTTAATTTCTTGAGATTGAACCCTTCTGTATGAGCTCTGTGCATTGTTTGTTTACTCACTGCCAGTCTCTCCCTGTCTTTTGCCACCACCAGGTTGTGGTCAGTATCACAATCTGCTGCTGTGAACGATCAGACATCAAGTATACATGAATGCTGTCTCCTGTCTATCAAAATGTGATCAATTTGGTTGTGCATCTTTCCATCAGGAGATGTCCAAATAAATTTATGAATGTTGTCATGTGGTAACATCGTACTTGTGACAACAAGATTTTTGGATGTTACAAAGTTTACTACTATAACTCCATTATAGTCACTAATTTCTTATAAACTCTCATTCTAAATTGATGGTTTGTAAATATCTTCCCTACCTACTTTGGCATTGAAATTTCCTAACAAAATTTTCTTACGGTGTTTAGGGAATTTATCAAATATATATTCTAGTTCTTTGTAGAACATGCCCTCCATATCATCAGTTTTATCTTCTGTTGGGGTATGAACATTCAGGACAATGATATCTCACCAGTAACCTCTTAGTATTATGTACGACATCCTATAACTAACAACCTCTGCCCTCTTAACTGCTGATACGATTCTCTTATGTACGAATAAACCTGTACCCAATTCATGGTTCTCATTCCCCTTTCTATAGAAAAATGTATATTTGCCTGCTGGTTTGGTGCCACCTCCATCCCATCTGACCTGTACTCCCACTAAATCTAATTTATATTTTGATATTTCTTCTGTCACTGCCCTGAGCGAACCTTCCCGTTACAAACTTCTGACGTTCCAAGTACCAAATCTCATCCATTTTCTTTCGCTTAGGTTGTTTATCCAAAGAATCTGTCCAGGTCTAAGGCTTCTTGTGATCTTTCGTAACAAGCTTTTTTTTTCTATGGTGAGGAGTTGTTCCATGCCCAACCCCCAAGCTGGGGGACCACACCTTGTCAGCTGTCCCTGACTGCTTATTCAGTATATTCACAGCAACCCCCACCACAACGCGCTATAGGATGCACCATGCCATGGTGACAAGCAGTCTCTAACAGGAACGGTATAATAGCAGTGTGATGTAAGATGTTTGGAAAGTGGACCAGACATGTAGCATACAAGAGTTGTTCGGAAAATGTCTAACAAATTTTGTTTGGAAGATATAAGAAAAGAGACCACTTCTGAGCTAGGACACAGATGGAAGAGTAATTTTGTATATGTTATGGGAAAAGAAGATGACTGTCAGCAGATAGACCAGCGAACACTTTAGTAGAGGGCAGATGACACCTTGTTTAGGCTGTGTTGTATCAAGCATTTATTCTCACAGAGCCCTGGAAATTGTCTGTCTGGCTAGTGGGAAGCCACTGAGAACTCTCTGGGGCATGCCTACAGCATTTGTTTGAAATGTTGCAGTACCCAGCAACAATGAGTGAGTGCTGTCCCAGAGAGGGAATTGAACAGTGACCTGTCTGCCCTTGACCTGGTGCTACAAACAATCGAAACTTAACATTTGTTTGAACTGTCACAGTATCCAGCAGCACTGAGTGAGTGCCGTCCCAGAGAGGGGATTGTACTATACCTGCACACTATTGAACAGCGACCTGTCTACCCTCGACCTGATGCTACAAACAACCGCAAGCTTGTCTTCTACAACCTGTTGCACCAAAGTGAAGGTTTTGCTGTTCTTTCCGCAAAGATGATGCCCAAGGTTGGTCTGTTAACATTTTGCATGATGACTGCGGATTGTAGGCTTCAACAAAACATGAGGCTAGGGGAGATGTAAGACCATACCATGCCCTAGGCAAGCTTTTGTGTTCTCACTTTAGAGGCCTGAGTTCAGTCTCAGGTTAGTCCATGTAAGATTTGTGGTAGGCAAGGTGGCACTGACGACTTCAGTGCCCACCAGTGCTCCATACTTTTTGTCAGAGGATGGGTAAGCTCATTTGAGGCCACAGTACTGAGGGACTCAGTCTCACATCACCCCCTATTGTCGTTCCCCCATTGTTGCCTACTCATCCCTTATTAGGGGTTGATACAATACACTTATTTTGGGCCTGTTTCAGCCCCACATTTTGATTTCTGTATAATACAAAGAAAATTGGAATACGTTATTGAAATATGTAGCAGAAGTGTGTCAGGCAAACTTTGTCTGTTTCACTTCCAATTTGCATTGATTTAGTCTCAGGAAGTGCTGGGCTCATTGCTTTTGCTTTGGCAGTTGCTTAAGTGCAGCTGACTGTAACATGATCACGTTTGCTGGTGGTTAGATGAGAATGGAAAAACAATGAATCTTGCACACATATCAGGAGAAGTTGATCTAAGACACTTAGGGTCAATAATAACTCACCTTCAACTAAACCCATTCACTTAAGAAACTTTTGACTTCTTTTGGAAGAGTAAATTACCCAATATTTCTACCCATTGTTTTGTGTTGTTGCCTTGTGTATAGTCTGGTTGACGTTTATACGTAACATGGACAACCTGAACATGAAGCAGGGATACCAACTGTTATAACACACTGTTTGTGCTGACAGCTCTGTGACTTCCCAATCTTCATGAACGTGGGGGAACTTAGAGTCCACATTGAGAACAATGCAGTATGCCTGCATCTGACACATGAAGATATTCAGGATCTGGAGGCTTTCAATGCCATGCTATTCAGAGAACTGCTGAAACTGATGCGGACATTCATGGTGGTTGACAAGGACAACAAAGAGAACTCATACTTTGTGGTGCCCACACGTCTCGGTAAGAGAGCATATTGGTGTATCAGATCCATGTAGAACAGAAGACTTATTGTCAATAGATTTTCCGTCAAGTGCAACAATATATTTTGGTCACTTATTTATCTCGTCTGCCTTATAAATAAATAAGTGACCAAAATATATTGTTGCACTTGACGGAAAATCTATTGACAATTGGTGATTAATAGTGTAACGGACCAAAATGAAACAATTCAAAACAGAAGACTTGTTAGTTGAAGGGAGTGTACATGAGAAGTGTGACTTGGGTTTTGGCCATAGTCTGCTGTTATTCTCCTTCTCTCCCGTTTATCTCTTCTTACTGCCTTTGCTGTTAATCAGACATGTGATCCTGTCTCCAGGAGAGGACAGGTGTCCTGAGATCATGTGGGATGTCGTCAGGCAGGGGAGTAACTTGCTGAACATCCAGAGACCGAGCAGAGAGGAATGTAGGACACTGGAGGTGACAGCGATGCTGTTCGAGAATAATGTTGTGGCTCCATGGTATCGCAGTGTGCCTCACCAGGTGGGGAACTTGCTGTTGGCAAAACATAATGGTATTTGAACATTTCTGACACTGTGCTGTCTGCCACATGCATTGGTTTGAGAGAGTGCTGAAAGTCTTACCTGTCACATTTGATCACAGACATTCGAGTGTAGGGCATAATATTAAACACATCCAACAAGTTAAATGAGAACCATCAGAATCTCTGGAATGCAGTTTAGAAATATGAAGAAAAATCCTTTCATTATGCTGTTTTGCATTAATCACAACTGTTCCATTCTCTGTTTCTGGTGCCATAAAATTACATAATTTTCAAGTTTTGTGCCTTCTGGCTATACCCCATTCTTTATGTCTCATTGTTGGTGTTACAGAATTACATCGTGACTCAAGTGTGCTCAGACCTGACTTCATCCAGCCCATTCCCCTCAGAGGACTACACTTCCTATGAGCATTATTACAGCCAGAAATATGAGCTGGACATCATTAACAAGGATCAGCCCCTGCTGGAAGTCAAAGCAATCCCCAACCACCTGAACTGTCTACGGCCAAAGTACGTCAGTTGTCCGATACTGTATAAGTTGGCCCAGCTGAAATTTAATCTGTAGAAAGTGAATTGCATGTGTCATAGCTTGTTGTTCAGTTAGTGTCTCAAGAGATGCAATTTATTGGTTCCAGGGGCACCAAGGTAAGCAGTGGTGCAAGCAGACGTAAGCGACATGAACTGCAGGAAGACTTTGAGGAGAACTTGGTTGCCGAGCTGTGTGTGCGATTTGAGTTCCCATCTGTCCTGTGGCTCAAGGCCACATGCCTGCCCTCCATCCTGCACCGTATAACCTATCTTCTCTTGGCCGAGGAGCTACGTCAGAATATTATGCGTGACATTGGAGTTGGATGTGTTGAGCTTCCACCAGGTGAGATGATAGAAATGTGACAAAGAAACTTGCTGGTGGGTGTGAACTGAACTCAACATGGCTTGCAATAGCAGTCATCGATGTCTTTGTGCTGAGTTTGATCAATTATGTTTTAGGACTGTAACTAGTTACTCAGTTAATTTAGATTATTGGTTCATTTCATTTATTTCTTTTATACTTTATTTAGCTTAATTAGTTTAGTTGGGAACCCATATGCCCTCCAGGTATGGAGGGAAGTTGCGAATATATGAATAAGCAGTTGTGGACAGTTGACAAGGGGTCGTCCTCCAGCTTGGGGGGTTGTGCATGGGGCTAACAACTCACCATAAAAAATTACTTTGTTACAAAAATGAACACTAAGTAAGTAAGTTGGGAACCCATGTAAGTTGTTGCTTATTTGTGTTACTTAACTGAGCCAAGAACTTTTTATTTGGTTCCATGTTTCAAAACTGCTTTTGTGAACCTTTTCAATCTACACACTGCCTGGTCTCTGAAACACCATGGACCCCTTTTCATTGGTGACTTAGTCTTTGTTTCAAACCATGCTGTTGAGTATTATAAACATGAAAGATTCATGTACTGGCTGAATATAAGCAAACGTGATTTAACCTGTGTGTAGAAAACTTTGTTGTTAGACTTTTTAGAACCTTTCAGTTGTGACAGTGAAACATCTCTGCACCCCTAGTGAGGCTTCAAGGGGGTACATGTGCCCATGGTTTAGAGCAGGTGTTTTGGTAAAACCTCCTTCTTTCTCCTTGTGTTTCGTCAGAGCAATATGGGTGTTTGTTTGCCAGTTCTCCTCATTCTGTGAGGTCTGAAGTTTCTGAGCTGCATTGTGTAGTTGTATGGAGTGTGGATGGAGTTATTATAGTGTTACCTCCATTTCTGTGTTGACAGACATGGAGTGGAAGCCCCTGTCAGTGGATCAGTGCTGTACGAAGGAGGAACAGAGGTCAAGCTCACCTCCCAAGATCACTGGCATGGAATCTCTGCAAAGGGCTGAACCAGCCAACCCCGTAACATCCACTTTGTTTGACTGGGGTGATGATAAGGAGCCGGTCGACATTGACCGTAACATGGCAGATGTGACACTCGTTGAGGTAAGTTGGAAGCAGCAAACTGCCTGACAGCTTGAAAACTTGTTATTCAGAGTAGCACGGTAATAACTGACATGTTTCAGATTTCAGAGTCAGTCAGTCAGCTCATTGCTCTCAGTTCATTTCCAAACTGTTTTCAGTCACATCTCAGTGTTGCCATTGTTTTTCAGAACTCGGGAGTCGGGAGGAGTTCAGTACTGTTGCTGTGTTTGAGAACTAGAGTGCCAGTGAGTGTTCAGTGTTAACTGGTGTGTTTCAGGTTCTGAACTATGATGAATTCATCAGTAAGCCTCTCAGCAACAGGCTTGCTGTGCATGGTCTCCATAGCAATGATGTCAGCCCTGCTGTGAGTTGTGATGATGAGGCAGAGAGTGATGTGCAGATTGCCATCCTCAACACCAGTATCAATGGGATTGGACCCCAGCAGTGTGACATTCTGCAGGTACAGTCTTGCACAAACTTCTCCAGATACATGTGTAACGCATTTACTGTTTTCCCTAGCTTCTCCTTGCAAATACCCTTGTAGTGCCTTCAAATAAAGTCACACTTTCCACTTTTCAAACCATCAAACACTTGACTGCAGCCTCTACGGTTGAAGCAGCGTAACTGCCATTTGGCTCTATGCCTTTGCACTGTGGCATGAGACCATGAACAGTCTGTGTGTTGCAGGCACTCACCAGCTCCTCTGCAAACGACATCCTGAATCTGGAGCGTCTGGAGACCTTGGGTGACTCATTTCTGAAGCTGATGTCTTCGCTTTATTTGTTCCGGCGTTATGGGCTTGTGAACGAGGGAAAGCTCACATGTATCAAAGGCAAGATGGTTGGGAACCGGAACTTGTACTACATTGGTGATGCACGCAAGCTGGGAGGATTGATGAAGGTGGGACCCTGTTTTTGCACTGTGTTAGAAGCCAGTGTTCTCTGTTTGAAACATCTCTGAGCATACATACCTTTGTCTTTAGTAGGTAGCGTTGTGGAAGAAATGTTCTGTATTCTATGAGACCTGTGGTATGACAGTTTGGTTTCTAACATATTGTCATGTGTATCAGTGACCAAAGACAGGGTTCAGATTGGTAATTGGATTTATTGACCACTTACAGGTCATAACTACAGTTAATTATAACACTTTCAAGATTACTATAATTATAACACACAAATAAAGTTTTCTATATCTGCTTACACTAGTCATTGCTAGGTAACAGATCTAAACAATGACTATTCCTCTGAAAAGTTTTCCCTATCCATTTCCTGGTGATGGATTTTAACACAGGAACTATAACTGTCACACTCCAGATATCACTGCACTACAGCACGCTTAAAGTCTTCAAATCACACCTTAAGTCTTGACAGGTCAACTTCTAATCTCCTACCAAGAAATTACTGACTTGTAGTGCCAATTGTCTTTAAGAAAACTCCTCTGCATGGACCCCATGGTAAACACTGTCTTCTTTTGTTCAGGATGCGTGTTTACAGCTTCATTGCCTTGTAATAGACATCCTATTATTCCGTGCATTTGCTTGGTGCAGACAACATAGAGAACACAGTTTCCCCTATATTGTTGTCATGTTCTTGGGGGGGGAGGTTACCAGTTGTCACATAGAAATTTCAGTTTTTCTGTTGTTGCCTGTGAGAATGTTTACGGACGTTCCTTTATTGTTATAGAAACGGCTCAAATGTCATATTATGTTGAAGATGGGATCTACCCACTTTCTAATGGTGTAATAATCTGTGCCACTAACTGATGACTAGGGCCCGGATCTTTATGCACTAAAAACACTTAAAATATGCGCTAAGAAGCGGGAAAATATGCACCAAAAATAAGAAAATATGCAATTAAGAAGGCGGTCACTTTATTCAGACTCACCTGTTTACATGTATCATTCACTGCAGAAAGTAGCATCGTAATAGGCAACTAGAAGTCTTTCATTGTTTTCTGGAGACAGACTGCGTCTATTGTCCATCAAAATGAGTTTATGGGCTGAGAATGATCTTTCTACATTAACTGGCATGATTGGACAGTATTTATACACTGGTGCCGAAGGTTCGGAATATTCGTCTGGCAAAGATACCCTAATTCCACTCAAGTAGTGACTAATTCACTGAATCTTTTTTAGTCCTGGGTTCGAATTCAACACCATTTATAACTTGCATTTAATGTTCTCTCCAATTTTGTCTAGTGCGAACAAGTTGCTTTCTGAACGAGTTGAAGTGAGTCATGTAGGAGTGCACCACAAGATTCTAAGCTCTCAATGGCTTTTGAAACTAGAAAAATGTGCATGGATAAAATTCACATCTTGATAAACAGTATCACTTCCAAACACCACTTCACGGACACATGCATGCTCATCATCAACTTTTGTAACCACTTCTTTAACCTGATTGAAATTCTCCTGATAAAATGAAACTGCGGAAAACCATGTCCCCCAACTAGTTAGGACAGGTTCAGGTGGCAGAGGAACCTGAGGTAAGCAATCTTTGTAGAACTGGACACAAGCTAGTGCTTTCAGAAACAGTTTTTTCCCGCATGCAATTAAATCATTAACAGCTGTAAACTGTGCGCGTATTTTTCTGCGATACAGTGTAATCCATGCGCTAAACAGGTTACGTGTATAAGATTTGGATAAAATACTTGTAAGGCCTTTGCTGCTTTCAACATATAGGAAGCTTCATCTGTGAGTAACACAAGCACCTTACAACAATTATTCTCAATTTCAGATGGCCATACTAGTCGCAGAGAATCATTTACAAATCTTACTATTGTGCTATGGTTGGTTTTCTCTAGTACTTTTCAAGCAAGAAGATGAGGGTTGCCAGGTTCGTCTGTATGTAGCTTAACAACTAAAAAATTTGCTACGCATCGGCCACATAAATCGGTTGTATCATCCTTCATTTTCCTTAATTTCAAACATATATGCAGAAATATGTTCTTACGTTTAGAATATGCAATAACAACCAAAAACCCTCAAAATATGCATTTGCATATGCGCATGTGCATTTTCAAAAAATCCGGGCCCTACTGATGACACAACCCCGAAAGATGTCTGGGAAACAGGCAAAGAGCATTTAGCTAGAAAGTAGTATTTAAATGCATCATGCATGCTCACAAGACAACCATTTCATCAGGTCTGACATTATTTCTTGTTTAAAATGATCTGAAATTTTAATACATTGTTTCTAAGAATTTTGTGTCTTATTGAAGGAACAAAGAAAACTTCACTGTTCAGAAAGTTCCTGGACTGTTATTGTAACTGCCTTGGTGAAAGAAGACGAGAGGGGAGGCCAAGGTCACACTTCCACAAACCTATTGCATTAGTCTGCCAGGTGACACCGCACAGTGAACATGCATTGTTTTTACATGAATACTTTTTCGACTTCATGTTTCATTTTATCTGTGATGGATGGCAGTCGTGCAACATGTCTTCATCAGGTTCTGTGAGAAGCTCAGTAAATCCACTACCGCAACCCTTGAAATGCTTTGTGAGGTTAATGGAGAACATTCTTTATGCCAGACAGTGGTTTTTTGAATGGCATTCATGTTCCAAGGCTAGTTGTGTCATTTGAGGATGACGAATGTTCACAGTGACAGCCACCAGCAAAACGACAGAAAAAATTTGAGAACTTATCCACAAAGATCATCACCAAACAATCCGTGAGCTCGTAAACATTGTTGGGATCAGTTATGGAGTTTTCCAGGAGATCTTAACATGTGCCACATTGCCACAAAGTTTGTTCCGTGCCTCTTGACAAATGATCAAAAGCAGTGGCGTGTAAACATGTGTCTTGAGCTACAAGAGAAGGCTAACAAGTACCCAACTTTTATGAGTATCTCTAAGATCATAACGGGTGGCAAAAGTTGGATTTATGGTTATTGTTCACCATGCATTTGTTCCTCGTACGCTATGGCCAACTCTGGCATTTATTGTGACATTCTGAGATGATCAAGAGAAAATGTGCAGCCACAACTGGCTCCTTCATCACAACAACATGCTTGCCCACACACCCCTGAAAACCACAGAGTTTGTGACTAACAACATGGTGTTGTTCCCCATCCTTCCTACTTGCTGGACTTAGCCCCTGTGAGTTTGTTTTGTTTCCCAAATTGAAAATGAAACTGAAGGGATGACATTTGGAAACATTTTGTGCCATCCAAAGTGAATCGCAAGCAGTAATCGACAGGATTAAGAAAAATGACTTCCACGGTGCTTCTGAAGCATGGGAAAAATGATGGGATCGCTATATCCATTCCCAAGGAGGTTATTATAAAGGAGATGGCAGCCAAAATTGAGTAAGAAGCCAGCATTTCTTTCTTGACCTAGTCCTGGAACTTTCCAATACACCTCGTATGAGAGGTGGCGAACGGAAGAAATTACATGATGAGGAGCTTTACAATCAGCTGCTCTTTATGGTAAATACCTGCAGTAGATTCTTCTCAGGCACTCTACTGTGTCCTTTTGGTTGGTTAACCTCAGTAGAGGCAAAGGCACTGATCTGAGAGTAACATTAAAATTGATACTACAGAAATGAATTGTGCAGATGTGACCTGAGTGAAATGGACTCATTTGGCTGTGGTTCGATAACCTTGGGGCTCTGTGGTAAGGAACTGGTATCATAGCACTGTGCATTTCATGCTACTGCATGATGTTGAGTACTGTAATGTGTATCTTCAGTCACAGTAAATCCAGCAAATGGAAATTTGTCTGTTGATACAGTGTGTAAACCATCTGAATAGCTCCATCCATCAGTGGCTGATAATAACAACTGCAACTCTTACAGGTACATGACTTTGGGTCAGCATCTGACTGGATTCCGCCCGGCATGTGTGTGTACCGCAAGCTGCAGCAGGTGATGCGGGATGCCAGCGTCAGTCCCAATATACTGTATGAGCTGCACATCCCTACAGAGGAACAGCTGAGCGGTCAGCTCAGCCGTGCAACGCTAACCAACATTGAGCAGAAGATGTTATCTACAGATGACGATAGGGGCATCCACTCATCCATGGAGAATTTCCTGTCTTTGCAGACTGTCTCTGATAAGACCATTGCTGATGGTGTCGAGGCACTCATCGGTGCTTACCTCAAGGTGACATTTCCAATGATATGGTTTTTGTATTATCTTTGAGTCCATGACTTCACCTTGCAGATTTCCTGACCAAAATTTTCCAGGAATTTCATATCACCCCTGTGCATGCTGTGTGTTCCAGCTGTCTTCATTCTTCCCTCAGAATGAGAGACTAAATTTGCTTCCAGATGAAACAAGTGACAAATTGCACCTTGATGATTGTATGTATGACATTATGTATGATTGTATTTCTAAGTTTGTTTGGACATGTGTATCATACTGTCATTCTCACTGTGAATTTTTTTGCACATGTGTACTGTTTTTATGACCACATTTTCGCCTCTGTTAGTTACAATATAACATGGCAAAGAAACTTTTGAACACGTGTGTGACCACCATCTTAAATGCAGCACTTAATATTTGTCTTTCACATATCATATTACCACAACAAAAGACAGCAATACTACTGTGACAGGATGTTAATATGCAACATTACAAGAAACATGTGTAATGGAAGGGAAATTATTTTTCAGGGCAGTGGTATTCGTGGTGCCCTGAAATTACTGGTCTGGCTTCAAGTACTGCCTGCCACAATTGCGGCTCCAGAGTATCTGCTTGACACGCCACCACCAAGTGCCCGCCTGACAGATGGAGAAATTGAGCTACACCTAGAAGGGGTCAGTGAACTTGAACGTCGACTGGATTACAAGTTTCGAGACCGTTCATTCCTCTTGCAGGCAGTCACACACGCATCGTACTCGGCCAACCGTGTCACAGACTGCTACCAGCGACTAGAGTTCCTGGGTGATGCAGTTCTAGGTACAGCTAAAATTTCATATTTAGTTTAAGGACCATTTCTTCTAAGTCATTGCATTGAATCAGTCCACATAGTATGAAGAGATCACTTCTGAGTTTTCATAACTGTTGAGATATTATTGCTCTCCTTTTCTTTATTACTGCCAGAAAATTTCATATATGTATGGACGTAACCTTGAGAGAAGAATATTGGATAAAATTGTGTATGGAGTTGATAGCCGTGATGTCCCATGTTAATTACTGCAGTCAGTTTTATCACCCTTGTGAATTGGTACAATAATAGACTCCTTCCACTGATCAGGCAATTTTCTCTTATTCCAAATGGAATTATTTTTTTTTTTCATTTCATGCATCCTGTTGTGTTATAATATACAATTTCTTTATTAAAACTGTCACAAGACGACAATATTAAGATCAGTGCCTACTTTCGCTCTGCTCTGCTTTGCTCAAGAGTCGTCGTTTACATTCCCTACAGAACAGACAATACTTTCTAAGATGAGGCATCGACTAAATAATTAACATTAATATTACTACATCTACATCATGAGCCTCCAAAACAATTTATTATACTCTTATATATACTAAATATAGAATACTCCCAATTTGTCTGTGTGAACACAACAAAATCACATGAACCAACGACTGACTCGATGATGTAAAACGTCACTTGAAGAATTTTATTCTTGTTTTATATAATCTAATTTATTGTATTTTTATGCCAAGTATTTTAATATAATTAATATTATTGTATCCAATTTTATTAGTACTGCAGTTCAGTGGCATATATATTGTGACATGTTGCGCAAAGGAGAACCCCCCCCACCAGCAGTGACGCGGCGGGTGAGTCAGCGCTCCCCTCCCCCTCCTCCGCACGGTAACGTAGCGGTGACGTCACCGAGGGATATCGCGGTTGCTAGGCAGCAGTCAACAACTCCGGACAGCGTGGCTAGCAACACGGCACCAGACAACAATTGTCCGATCAAGGCTACATAAGGAGCAGTGAAGGCTATTCACAGTCAGTCAGTGAGTCCTCGAGCTACCTCCGAGTTAGTTCCGAGTTAGCCAGCAACCAGTCAGTTGTATTGTGGCATTTGGAGTGAACTATTTGTGATACTGCAGATAGCAGTAATCGTAAATCTGTAATTTGGGTGATTGTAAGTGCGAATGTGAAATAAAATTCACTATATAAAATATGGCGTGAAGTTATTTGTCGCGTTATACGCCCAATACACGACAATATGTTAGCCATGTATTTGCCTGATGATGGCTATTACTGGCTGAAACATGTAGCAGAGCCAAACTAGGCACTGACCTTAATAGCTGTGTTGTGACGGTTTTAATAAAGAAATTGTAGAATTAATTAGCATATGGATCTTATGTAGGTAAGTCAATAATTATCCGAAATGTAGCTATAAATTTTTTTCAATACAAATAGAAAACTTACATTAACATAATTTTTCAACATAGTCCCCTTGCTTCTCAACGCACTTGGTCCATTGTTGCACAAGCTTCCTGATGCCCTCAGAAAAGAAGGTTTTCAGCTGAGCAGTGAGCCACGCATGCACCGCTTCCTTCACTTCTTGGTCCGAGGTGAATCGACGGCCCCTTAATGCCTCTTTGAGTGGACCAAACAAGTGGTAGAAGGGGCGAGATCAGGACTATGTGGAGGATGAGCCATTACATCAAACTTGAGTTTTCCCGAGGGTTTCAGCAGTGTGGGCAGCAGTATGTGGACGGGCATTGTCGTGCAACAACATAACACCTTTCGACAGTAATCCTCGGCGTTTGCTTCGAATTGCAGGCTTTAGCCTGTCAGTAAGCATCTCACTGTAACGAGTACTGTTTATTGTTGTGCCTCTCTCCTGATAATGTTCCAGTATTGGGCCTTGTGAGTCCCAAAAAACTGTAAGCATCAGTTTTCCTGCGGATGGTTGGCTTTTGAACTTTTTCTTGCTGGGCGATTGTGGNTCCCGAGGGTTTCAGCAGTGTGGGCAGCAGTATGTGGACGGGCATTGTCGTGCAACAACATAACACCTTTCGACAGTAATCCTCGGCGTTTGCTTCGAATTGCAGGCTTTAGCCTGTCAGTAAGCATCTCACTGTAACGAGTACTGTTTATTGTTGTGCCTCTCTCCTGATAATGTTCCAGTATTGGGCCTTGTGAGTCCCAAAAAACTGTAAGCATCAGTTTTCCTGCGGATGGTTGGCTTTTGAACTTTTTCTTGCTGGGCGATTGTGGGTGTTTCCATTCCTTACTCTGCCGTTTACTCTCCGGCTCGCAATGATGGATCCATGTTTCGTCACCAGTGATGATTCTGTCTAAGAAGACGTCACGTTCGTTATCATAGTGATCCAAATGTTGTTGGCAGATGTCCAAGCGTGTTTGTTTATGCAACACTGTGAGTTGTTTTGGGATCCATCTTGCACAGACTTTATGAAACCCAAGTCTGTTGTGGATGTTTTCATGGGCAGAACCATGACTAATTTGCAGACAATTTGCCACTTCATCAATAGTCACTTGTCTGCCCAACAGAACCATGTAATGTGCACATTCAGTGTTGTCCTCATTTGTGGCTGTGGATGGTCATCCGGCTCCTTCCTCATGCATAATACTTGTGCAACCATTTTTGAATTTTTCAATCCATTCGTAGACACTCCATTGCAGCAAAACACTGTTCCCATATTATGCTGAAAGTCTTTGATGGATTGTGGCCCCTGATACACCTTCCGACCACAAAAACCGGATCACTGAACGTTGCTCTTCTTTGGTGCAAACAGAAAGTGGAGCAGCCATGATTAACGGCAAGGCAGCGATGATGGAACTGACCTAGCAACATCAAACCTGTGCAGAAATAATGACAAGGAAACCATGCATGGTGATGCTGCGCAAAATGACAGTGCTGCCAACAGAAACACAAGTACAACTGCATTGCGGATAATTATTGACTTCCCCTCGTAGAATGTAGATGAAATTATTGGGGATCATCAGTATGGGGTTCGATGAAACAGATCAACTACAGATCAGATCTTTTGCATTCATCAGATACTGAAAAAAAAAATTGGAGTACAATGAGACAGTACATCAGCTATTCATAGACTCAAGAAAGCCTATGATTCACTTAGGAGGGAAGTATTGTACAGTATTCTGATAAAGTTTGCAGTATTAGGCTGATTCAATTGTGTTTCATCAAAACATATTGTAAAGTTGGTTTATGAAAGCATTTTTATGATTATTTCCCTCTTCAGAATGATCTGAAACAAGGTCATGCTTTGTCACCAATGCTTTTCAACACCTTAACTGTTTGTTTATGCTGATGTGAATATACTGGGTGATGATAATGTCACGTGCAAGGGGGTACATGTGACAAAATGACGGGTTCTAGTTCGGATGATTGGATGATTAGCAGCTTGATTAGACACTCTCTTAATCACACTTAAATACATGCAATACAGCACGGTCACTGATTTAAACACTTCCCAGTTCACCGTTGCACACACACTAGGATTCTCTGTCTTCCACTAGTCGTCTCATAGCAGTGGATCTCCACACAGAAACTGTCACTTCAAATCACTACAGATATTACACATAATTAAAGTCTTCCAATCACGTGCCAAGTTTTCACACGACAAACTTCCCATGGCTGTCACTTAAACAAATACTCCCCAATACTACTTCTATTCTGTCTGTAACTGTTGTTATATAGCTTCCGCACTGACCACGCAGAAAACAGCCTGTTGGAACATGTTTACCGAGCAATTGCATAGCAGTGGTTGCAGCACGGACTCCGTAGAAAGCTACCACTGTTTTGGTGTGATATCATTGCGCCTGTGTGGAAGTCTGTTTACTGAACCATTGCCTAGAAGGGGTTTCATAATCTTGTTCCACTGTTGCCAGTGTGTATTGCGTATGTTTACTGGTCCATTACCCAGCAACGCTCTGGCCATCCACGTTACATAATAGGTACCATAAAGAGAAAAACACAGACTTTAATTGATGAAACTAAGGAGGTTGGTCTAGAAGTAAACACAGAGAAAACTGAGTATATGTTGCTCTCTCATCACCAAAATACAAGGCAAAATCATGACATAAAGATAGGTAATAGATATTTTGAAAATATGGCACAGTTCAGATATTTGGAAATTACTATAACAAATTAAAACCTGATTCAGGAGGAAAGAATAAATAATGCTTGCTACCATTCAGTTCAGAAACTTTTGTCTTCTTGTCTGCTGTCCAGAAACATAAAAATTAGAATATACAAAACTGTAGTTTTGCCTGTGATTTTGTGGGTGCAAAACTTGGTCTCTGACATTAAGGAAGGATCATAGACTGAGGTGTTGAGGAGAATACTTGAACCGAAGAGAGATGAAGTGACAGGAGGTTTGAGAAAACTGCATAATGAGGAGCTTCATGAATTTTACTCTTCTCCAAGTATAATTAGAATGACCAAGTCAAGAAGGATAAGGTGGGCAGGGCATGTAGTATGAATGAGGAGAAGAGGAATATTGGTGGGAAAGGCAGATGGAGATAGACCACTGGGAAGACCAAGATGTAGGTGAGTGGACAATATTAAAATGGGTCTTAGAGAGATAGGATGGGATGGTATGTATTGGATTGATCTGGCTCAGAATAGGGACTGATGGAGGGTTCTTGTGAAAATGGTAATGAACCTTCGGGTTCCATAAAATGCAGGGGAGCTCTTGAGTAGCTGCACAATTGGCAACTTCTCAAGAAGGGCTCAGCTCCATGAGTGAGTGAGTGAGTGAGTGAGTGATGGATCTTAGAATATTGTGACATGCTGAGCTATGAGCCCTCCCCCACCCCCCGCCAGCCGTGATGCGCCGAGCGAAGCCGAAGTGAGCCGATGTTAGCCGAGTCCTAGGATCCTGGTCGCTAGGCAACGCGAGTCAACAGCAGTGACGTCACCAAGTAGTAACAGCAGTTACTTCCGCTAGCGTTACTAGCAACACAGCGCCAGGCAACAAGGGTGCCTATTACGTGGCCGTATTGTCCGATCGAGGCTACATAGGGAGCAGCGAAGGCTATTCACAGTTAGTTATAAAGTAGCAGCCGCCTAACACAGTTCTAATGTGGCTACCAGCGAGTTCTACTGTAGCAGTCGGCGACTTCAGTTGTACTGTGACAGCCACCGAGTTATAACGTAGCCATCGCCGAAGATCGTTCCGAGCAAGCCTACGAGAGTGTGTTATCAACAGTTCTCCAGTCAGCGGACTAGAGTTGAAACATAACAGCCGCGTGTGCGATAACCAGTGGTAACCAGTCATATCTGGAGTGTGTAATCCAGGGAGACTTGTATAGCTCCCGCATTATTAGTACGTGAAGACTCTCGAAGAGAGTGTTAAGAGATTTTGTTCTAGGGTTTGTAAAGTGTGGAAACCCGTAATATTGTGATAATTAATTGTAGCCGTTATTTGAAGATTGTTAAATAAACCAATTAACCATCTCTACGGCCTATTCAGTAACGGAACACGTTACAATATAATATTTCACCTCCTGCTTGAATCAGTTCTGCCAGAATTTGATCACTTCCTGGCGATTTATACATTTTCAACTTTGCAGTAGCAGTTTCAACTTCAAAAGGACTAGGATCAGGTACTAACGGCTCAGCTGTATGTATTTCTATCTGCCTAACATCAGTGACCTTGTGTACATGTAGCAACTGAGAGAAGTAGTTCCTCCACCTATTCAGAATGTTATGGGAATCTGCAAGATCACAATTCTTGTTCCTTCTAGGTTAGTAACCCCTTTTAAATTCATTTATTCCTCTATACAAGTCTTAATGTTCTTGTTCTTACTGTTCATTGCAAAGTCATGAATTTTGTCTTTCAGATATTCCCTCATTTTTTTTCTGAAATGCCTGCTGGTTTCACATCTTATTTTGTTCAGATTAACCTCATGTATTTTGCTGGGATCCTGTAACCACTGCAGTTTGGCTTGTTTCCTTTGATCTAATAATTTTGAGGATTCTTTGTTGAACCATGTCTTATGCTTCTCCAATTCATGATAATCTAGACTGTGTTTGGCTGAAATATTGATCTTCTCTGTTGATAGTTTCCCAAATTCTGTTCCAATCCACGTCAGTAACTAAGATTTCCAAAGCTGTGAACATCTTTGAGATTGCAACACAATACTGCGCTTTACTCTCTACTGTTTCAGCTGGCATGGATACACTAAAGTGCACTGGAAAACAGTAATGTGAGCATGGAAGATCTAAACTGCTTGATACACATCATAATTTATTTGTACAAGATGGCTGTCTACCAGCAGCTGTGACTTTGGAAAATATTAGGTGCTTTACTGATACATTTGGCATGCAGAAAGTAACAGGATCATCATATGAATTTTTAGTGAATGAAACAACAAAATGGAAGGTGAAGCTTTCCTAAAGCTGTGCAATAGCTTCCTGCCACAGCAGCCTGTGTTAAATGCCAGGTTAGGTTGTGTGGGGTTTGTGGTGGACAGTGTGGCACTGGGGCAGGTCTTCTCTAAATACATGGTTTCCCCTGCCAATTCTCATTCCACCAACTGATTATACTCATTTGTCCACTGAAGCTGGTACAGTAGGCCAGTTAGTGGCTGACATGCCAAGTGAACTCAGTCTCACCCCACCACATGAATACTGATAGTCACTTGATATTTCAACATCTTGCCCATGGCAGAGTTACGGCAAATGTAAGATACAAAGTTCTCAGTTCATATCAGAACAGTTAAGAGTTGCACAGGTGTCATATTGTAGGGCACACAACATCGGTCTTGACAATAACAAGTTAAGCTTACCATGCCATACAAGGAACAATACAGAATACAGAATCGTCTGCACAACAAGGGTTCTTGCAGACTGCAGTGACTCTGGGTGACCCTTGCTGAAATATAGTTTTAGAGTTACATGTGATCAGCTGCCATCAGGGACAGACACATGAAACAAGAATTGAATCGTACTCCCTTCGAATTGCTCTGTTGGAAGAGAATGAAAGGGCTGCATACGTCTTCAGATATACAAGTTTGAGAGACTGGTAAAATATAGGGATTGGTAGATTTGGATGTTATGCGGGAAGAAAGGTGGGAGAGGTGTTGCCCACCTGACTGGGCTAGCTAGCAAGTGTGAAGAGCCAGCAATGCAGAGAGAATTAATCACTTTGTTTCAGACATTTTGAATCTGACCAGCTCAGTGGCTCTTCCTGAATAGCTAATATTTGCTCAGCTAGATGAAAAATGCCTTATCTCTGATGGAACTAACCAGAAGCTCCTGGAAAGCCTGCCAGTGATACCTATCCTGAGCCAAATTAATCCTGTCTCCATTGTCACAATCCATTTCATTCAGTTCCATTTTAATATAATCGTTTAACCAGTGCTATGTTCTCCCAGATGGTATTTTTTCCCCCATCATTCTTGTCTCTCTCCCATGCTAGGTGCTCCATATGTCTGATTCTTGATAGCTGGTACTATTTTCTGAATTATGTTTTGCAGACTTCCTCATCACGTGTCATATATATGAGTCATGTGGCCTGCTGACGCCTGGAGAGCTTACTGACCTGCGGTCAGCACTTGTCAACAATGTGACCTTTGCATCACTGGCTGTTCGCAATGGATTCCACAAATTCATGAAATACACTTCACCTAAGCTTATGGACATGATTGATAATTTTGTTACATTCCAGGAGGAGCACAATCATGTTGTAAATGAGGAGGTAAGTTTGTGGTGGTTGGTGGTACTGCTGCTTAGAAGTCCAGTGAGATATGCTGGGAGCAGTGACCAGTGTTGCGAACTGACTGCAGGTGCTGCTCTTGCTGGAGGAACAGGATGTACACATCGCTGAGGCTGTACAAGTGCCAAAAGTTCTAGGTGATATTTTTGAGTCTCTTGCTGGTGCTATCTACCTAGACAGCGGCCTGGACCTGCAGGAGGTGTGGCGTGTCTACTACAGGCTGATGAGGACAGAGATTGGTGAGTCCATTGATGCCATCAAGGACGTCAAATGTGCCCCATTCTTGTGGAAATCCATAATTCACTGGTTATGTGTCCTCTGTTCACAGCCCAGTTCAGCAAGTGTGTGCCAAAGCAGCCAGTGCGCCTTTTGTATGAGCAGGCTACACAGCCACCCACATTCCTGTAAGTGCTTTTAAGGTAGTCCTTTGCTACTGGATATTCCTGTTTTAGTTACTTAAAGCTGTCTGGAATAGACTTTTTGTACTCTGCAGATAATCTGATCTAGTTTTTGACACTTATCTTTCTCGCAGAGGGTCAGGGGCTGTTGACTTCTCGCAGAGGGTCAGGGGCTGTTGACTTCTCCCAAAGAGTTAAGAGGGCGTTGACCTCTTGCAAAGGGTCACGACGTTAGTGACCTCTTTTTTTCTCACACTTTATTTTCCTTTCCTGGTGCTCCCAGTAGGTCACTGAATGGTTTATGCCTCCCCATGATCATTCCAGAAACAATCGCCTCTATTTCCCTAAGAGGCCAGTGCAGTCTTGGAGCACCCAAAAGCTTCATTTTCTAACCAACCGAAGTCTTATATCTGATGTGTTATGATGTTGCAGACCAAGCAGACAAGTAGATGTTGGCACAATGGTTACTGTGGGTGTGTTCATCAAAGGCAAGAAGCGCTGGTTCCATGGCTTTGGAGAAACAAAGGTACAGGCAAAGCGTGCTGCTGCCAAGTGTGCCCTCAAGGAACTCAGCCCCAGATAGACTCCGGGAGGAGCTGAATTCGTTTGACTGTGCACTTTGTTATTTAACTCTCATGCCAATCTTGATACAGGCTACCAGCTGATTGCAGTGCCTCTCAGATTATGACAGGCAAATGTAACCTACATGTCGCCATATAGAGTGGTGCATTTTTCTGGACAGATGTTATCTCCAGTCAGACATGGTATGTAAACATCTAAGTCCATGTGTAGCAATGCCTCTAGCCAGATGCAGAAATAACAGGAAACAGCAGTTGTGTGTAGATGCAGTACTGCTGTCTTCCATTGGACAAATAGTAATGTAATGTTATTTTGGGTGAACCTACTAGATTTAGAGGACGTGAATTCACACAGGATTATCCACTGTCTCAAAGAGAGTATGGGAGTATCTTCAGGCTGAAATGTAATGTCTAGATTCTACAGCAGTTTTATGTTTTCTTATCATGAACAGCTTCAGGAGTTTCAGCTGTTTGAACAGCTGGCATTGAACACCTCCAGATCTTTAGTATCTTCATTGTGTTCTATGGTATCTGTGTTGGCCCGAACATGTTGCAGCACTTGAGTGCAATAATATGGGTACAAGCCTGTGCATTATTGTATGTTAACAGAAACAGAGGTTGTGTCAGCTTCTTAGAGGTGAAGAGAGGCAGTGTTGTCTGTTGGTGGTTCATACCAAGTCTGGAGCCAAGAGTTCAAGACACTTGATCCTTGACCGAGAGATCAGTTATGTTCCAAAGCCCTGTTCATAAGTCAGGTCACTGTTAATTTGAAGAAGTCACTATTCTGCCGTTAAATTAATTATTGCTTATGGAAATGAGTTCTAATCCGAGTTATATCTGGTTGTTTGTAAGTCAAGTTTTTTGTATGTCGAGTGCACAAGTGTACGTCTATCCAGTGCACTTTGTTACTTGGCCATTTATAACATATAATTTGCTGAGAGAAGTGTGGAGTCAAGCAGAACAATATTGATTCTTTTTAAGTATTCTTGGTGACATAATGAGTTTTGCAGAAATCAGCCAATCAGATCAGAGCACAAAAGATGCTGCACAGCATCTTTTGTGGAAGTTGAGTGGATGTCTAGCAGACTGTTGTTGGAGTATGTGTTCCTCAGTCAGAATGTGAAAGTCAGCCCTTTGCTCATGTTACTGTATTGGATGTGGCAGCAGCTCTTGGGTTTACCCTGCTGTATGATGGTAGGGTGCGTATTGTTACTTGGCAGTCTGTAGCCTGTGCTTTTTATGTTGGCAGAGAAATTTATTTAAAAGTAAGTGATACTGCCAGCAGGAGAGAGAGGGTGCTATTACTTGTGCAATGCCGTTTCACTTGGCAGTGTGGATATACCTAATTATTGACAGAAATGGCAGCATTGCCCTGCGACCAGTAAAATCTCATCAACTCCGAGTCATGATTGCAGTTTATGCAGAGCTCAAACTAGTTGCAGCGCCATGGGATCTGCATTCTGCTGTTTCAGACTGATGTGTAATGAATGGCTGTATCCATTATGGAGCATGCTTGCTGCATGCATGCACATGGTTTAGAGAAGCCATCATGACTACAATGATATACTTTTGTTCTTACTCAGAAGTTTGAAATGTAAGTGCAGTGAAACATATTGGAGAAACATGGAGACAGGCTGTTAACCTGCTGGTAGCACTTGTGCAGGTACAGATATGGGCTGAGTAAGTCCATTGTCTGCATAATTTTCTACTGGTGCTCGATACTGAAATATGCAGTATGTCCATGCTGTCACACTGTTGGTCTGTGCATGGACCTTCCCTCCACAGACCTAACAGAGAGCACAAGATATTTACCGAGTTCTCATCATTATGTATGGTAGCCACAGCTGTGAAAATGGTGTATGTGCTGCCGAGTTTCTGGATGTGATTTTAATTATTGTAATTTGATTTTATTATCTCTTCCACACTTATGCCATTGGACTTTAATTTCTTAACTTCAATGTTATTCCTTTAACTGTTTCACCATCACAAACTGATTAGATCAGTTCGGCATACTTGTGGCAAAACTACCACAGCTGAAAAGACCAGCTTGATGTTAATAACTTAGTACAGGGTTTTTATCGCTAGAGGGCATCAGGTGTTAAGTAATAATATGCAAATGACATGTCACAATATGTTAAGTATGCATTTGCAAGGAAAGCATCGATATGTTATTAACTGTATTCCTTTTGATTTATACTAGTAGATTAGAAGCATCTATCTGGGTGTGATAGCTTAGCACAAAGTTTAACTTTCTGGAGTATCTCTTTTTATGGTTTTCTTACAGGAAACTTAAACTTCCATTGTTCCAGTAACTGTTCATTTCTGTACCTGTTGGAAGTTTTTGTTTTCTTGTGGATTGACTGAATGTACTGTTGGAAGGAAGTGAGCAGTAAATTCCTTGTACTATCTTGCTGTCTGATGCGTCCATAGAATTGGAAGGTGTAAGATGCACTGTATTGCATGTCACTGGTACAGTGTGCATTGGGTGCAACTCTCTTCCAGTCTGATTCATGAACTGTCTTGCCTTGACTTGCTCTCTGTTATATTTTTATTAAAGTCTGATGTGAAATGTTACCAGCGTACTAATGCGGAACCTGCACATTCTTTACCATAACTGCAAAAGCATGTTCAGCTGTTGGCCTCTCAGACCAGCCATCCTGACAGGTTTATATGGTTTTCCTCAGCTCCTCCAGAAGAACTCTTATGATAATACAGTGAACAGGCTGTAACCACTTCTTTCCTTGTTAACAGTATGTGGAAAATGTTAGACAGAAGAAACCTGTTGCTCCATTATAAGGGTTTACAAAATGGATGCCCATTCCACGAATAAGAGAACTGTAGATTTCAGATAAAGTCTGAAAGAACGTCCTGACAGGATTCCAAAAAAGATCATGAAATACGAGGGGCGTTCAAGTTCTAGGTCTCCGATTTTTTTTCTCAGGACTGGGAGCAGATGGACACATGCGGTTTAGTTTAAAATACGTGTGCACTCTTTGTGAATGCGTGACAGAGATGGCAGCACTCTACGGCACACAGAACTCTAGTGGTAGCGGCGAGAGTGAGAAGTGTTTTTGATACTTAAAATGGCGACGTTTTCGTTACAACAACAGCGCGTAATCATTCGTTTTCTCCACTTGCGTGGTGCAACACCCATTGAAATTCATCGCCAGTTGAGTGAGACGTGTGGTGATGGTGTCATGAATGTGAAAAATGTGCGTTCGTGGGTGCGACAGTTCAAAGAAGGCTGAACGTCGTGTGACAACGAACCAAAACAATCTCGGCCTCTTCCAGGTGGATGCCCACAAGGCTGCACGCATGGCAATTTGCCAGGCGATGTTGACACGTGATGAAGGCATCAATGGGACTTTCTTTTCATCAACTGTGACGATGGATGAGACATGGATGCCGTTTTTCAATCCGCTATTGCATCAGCAATTTTCCAGAGGTCAAAACAGACTCCTACAGAAGCATTCGCAGCGGCCATGGAATGATGACATCAACGTTGTGAAAAATGTGTATGGCTGCAGGGAGATTACATTGAAAAGTGACAGAAGTTTCAAATTTTTTGTATGATTATTGTGTGAGAAAAAAGTCAGAGACCTTAGAACTTGAACACACAACGTACAATGGTAGGATTGTGTTTTATACCTGTAATGGGTCTCAACAGGCCCTAATGTTGGAATGGTGCACTGACACTCCCATCATGCCCAGTCACACAGGAAGTTCTGACTTACGATGCTACCGTGAATATGGAGGCAGTATGTGCTTTCTAAACATAATGATCTACCAGAAAACATAGTGTCACATGCCAGAATATATATCTTCAATTTTTTCCTTCTCTGTACACTATTATAATCATCATCAGTAATCTGTCAAGGCGACAGGTCCACAGTCTCTTCCAAAAGAATTCCTCCACATAATGTGATCTAGAGCTTTCTCCTTCAAATGACAGTATCCTCTTCTGTCCCCAAGGTCATCCAGCATCTTCTTACGTCTTCTTCCTCATCGTCTTGTCACTTCCATCCACCCCTCTATCTTTCCTTCGATAACTTCTTTTAGAAGGCAGTTTCTGCGTAAAACATATATTTTCATCAGTATTATAATAGTCTCTTTCCAAAAACTATTATAATACTGATGAAAATATATTCCCTCTAGATGACATTCATTCGGCATTATCACCTGTAGTACTGGAAGCACTTCACTTCACTATGTTTCTACGAGATCTAGTCCATGCTCCCCTACGGATGAACTTCTATTATATTTTAAGGCCCGCAGTGTGACAGTTCAGACAGTCTTTTTATAGCCTTTCAATTCATTACACATTTCCTCTGTTGCTTGCCAAGTAACATGAGTACCGATGTATTAAGTTGTGTGATAACAGACATTGCTTATATACTGTGGTATGGCAGTCATATCCCACATATTTCACTCACTGTATAAGATGTCTACAGAGTTTCTGAGGGCATGTCTTGAGTAGGTAACCTTCCAAAAATCCTGTGTCCTGTGTATTCAAGATGGCCTACATGTTGAAAATACAATCTGGTAACATCATAATGATGACATAATGATTTACATCAGGGATCTCCAAACTTTTCAAACTGCGGGCCACATTAGGTAATTCAGCACTTTCAACAGGCCAGATAAAATGAGAAATTAATAACTCTAGGTATATGAGTCTTATTGAAAGCACAGAATATCATAAACTAAATGCAAAGTACGTGAGAATAAATATTAATTAATAGATTAATGACAAGACAGTAGCAGCAAATGCTCATATTTTCATCACAAATTATATTAAAACAATTAATGTGAATGATGGAACTCTTTTTGCATTCTTAAAATCTGATTAAATTGAGGTTCAAATTTTGAAACGCTAATCACAAGTAGCGACTTTAAATGTTCATCAGATAAATTTGCCCTGTATTTCGACTTGATGTACTTCAGCTGGGAAAAAGTTTCACACAGATATGTCGTGAAGTTCAATAATTTCCATTTGAATTTGACTTGGGACATCTGCAGCATCACAGTCAAACAGATTTTGAAACAATATAATTTCCTGAGCACTGGAATCCAAATCAGCAAATCGCTTCCGAAATTGTTCTTTCAAACCTGAAATGACTAAATTTGCAAACGAGGGTGGAAATTCTGCTTCACCCTTTTTATGCAACTATGCACAGTATAGCGTATGAACCAAGTTACAATTTTTCACTTGGCTTTCCAGAAGTATCAACTTTGCTCTGTATGCCTTGATAAGTGCAAATAAATCATAGACTAAGTTATTTTCACCCTGCAACTTTAAATTCAAATGATTCATATGGTTCACCAGATCAGCAAAACTGCTAATTTCCAAAGCCACTTGGCATCTGATAAAAGTGGTTCGTGATGGTTTTTCTTGGTAAGAAATATATCAATTTTATTCCTGAGCTGAAAGAAGCGCAAAAGAACGTTTCCACAGCTAAGCCATCGAACTGCAGTATAATATGTCAGGTCAATAAGCTTGGAATCACATTTACCAGTACTCATTGGAAAATTAGTTCAACTGGTGCATTTCTGCACAATTCTTTTGCAGGCCGGAGTTTGGAGACCCTTGATCTACATCATTATCTGATGGCACCCTGAGAGATGTTCACACAGCAGGAAGCAAAACAAAGCAGCTCTTTCTAATTTACAGTATTTTTATCATCAATCTTGACATTTCAAGTTTCAATGTGCTGTTGTGTTACAGTTCTTTATAAACAATTGGAACTGCATATGGGATGCAATATACACAAACATGGTGTACATATAAAATGACTACATATTGGAATTCACTGTTTATGTATTCATGACACCACATACAGCTGGGGCATGGCAAGGCCCACATCTGCAAAATGAGAGCAATGGGAAAGGAGCACAGCCGGTCTTGGGCACAAAGGTTCAGCATTTTACTCCTACTCCTTTTAATGAAGCTTGTTAAAAATGGTGATACAATATAGCGAACATCACATTTCCAGTCACAATAGTGACAACCACATGCATGAAGCCTGCCCTCTCTATTTGCTCCTCTTGACAGATGGACGTTCAAAAACCTGCTTCATGCCTGCAGCCTGGTTGTTGTGGAACTTGAGATTCTGAGCAGTCTCCGATATCCACGGGGAGTCAAACTGTGTAGTGTCTTGGTCCACAAGGTGAGTGTATTTGGTGCGACCACTGCGCCCAAAGTTCTTCACCTGCATCACCTTTGGCAGAATGGTCTTGTCAAAGTGATCCTCCAGTGTCGCTGCCGAGAAGTCTCTCTTATACAGGTCATCATCCTGATTCTGCAAGTATATGCAACATGCATCACAGCAAGATGGCTCACTGTAACTGGCAGCCACACTGACAGTCAAAACATACTCTACACAGTTACTGATATCTTCACAACTCACCATGAAGAAAGCACCACGGTGATAGTACTTCTGCAGGAACTTGTATTTGCCCTTCGTTGCTTTGTTAGTGACAAACTTGGGGTTGTTCCTAAGCTCTTGCCGCCTCTCCTCTTCTGTCATGTTGCGCAGCCGTTCTATTTCCAGTCGTTCCCGTTCTATCCTGAAAGCACAGATAGGATGTGCAATAACCAAAATATTGAATCTCAAACGTTTTGTCTGTCTGATATTGGTAAAACTTACTGTTCTCTCTCCTCACGATCCCGTTTGATTCGCTTCAGCTCACGCAGTTTCCAAGCCTCATATTCCACCTCATCGTTCTCATCATCTGTGTTAACATCATGTAAGGATGGTTCATCACCATCCTTCACGGATGTCTCCTTCCGTATATCTTCTTCTACCATCTGGTGACATAAGAGAAGCAGTGCTCAGTTAAGAATCTCTCGGCAGAGTCTAAAATGGTGGGTGCTCACACTGGGCCTTGTATGGGCTCAAACCCCCTGTGGGTTTAGTTAAGATCTACAAAATGGGGACAGTATTTTCAAGACATAAGTCTGAGACCAACAGCAAAAGAATTACTGCTAACAAACTCTACATTGTCTACAACTCTGAGGATATATCATACCTCAGTAGGCAGCCTATGCAACAGAAGTTCTGTGCATTTAGAGTCCTTCAGTACGATGATCTTGGCTCCCACTGTACGCTGAAAATAGAATCCATTTATAACGACGTACCAACCTACATCAGTGATAATGAAGAGCCCTCACAGATTCATCATCTGCACTACATACATTACAGTTATGTCATTCTTGTGAGATAGCTTTACTGCCAGTTTTTAAAAAACCAGATTTACACAGGTAAGACAGTTTCATGCAATACCTGTAGAATTTAGGTACCTTTAGTGTGTACTTGCGGCGCTCCTCTGCCATTTTCTTTGCCTCTATCTCGGCCTGCTTCTGACGCACTGCCTCTCGCTCTTTCTCCATCACTGTGACTCTGTCCTTCTTCCTAACAAACACGGGTTTCAAACGTGGACCCGCTTCCTCTTCAGAGTCTGATAAAAACATGAAAAATTGCATCAGTATTTATTCTAGCTGTAATTGCACAAATTATGGTAATTTTTGCTTACACAAATCTCACTACATTCCTGCCACCTTAATAATTCCCTCATCTCACTAACCACTGTACTCCTCATATTCTGACGACTCTGATGCACTCTCATCTGGTGAGTGGCCTTCCTCCTCTTTGTCCAGTACCTCCACCTCCTGCACAACAAAGCAGGAGATACAGGAATGAGAATATGACAGCAACACAACAAACACAGCATGGCTTGTGCATGGCTGCCGACCATACCTCGTCCTCTTTGTGGTTCAGAACCTTCTCACGTAGCATCTGCCTTCGCCGTTCAATCTCCTCATCACTCAACTCATCCTCCTCCTCTTCCTCCTCACTTTCATCCATTCTGGCAATCCGACGCACCTCCTTCTCCTCATCTGACACCCCCACATCGAGGATCTCTGGTGCATGAATATGCCTGTGTGTCAGCAAGACTTGTTAGGTATCATCAGAATCTTTACAAGCATGGCTTTGTGTGACAATGTTTGGCTGAATTTTCCTACTACTATAAACTTTCGAAAAGCTTCTGTCAAACAGTGTAATAAATTTCTCTCCACAGCCAACAATGACTAACCTATGTCTCTCCATCCTGTTCTCATCTTCACTCTCTTCTCCATGGTCACCTTCCTTCCTAGTTTTCAGCCTTCTTAGTCTTGGATCATCCAGGTCTACCTCTCCTGTTGCTTCCACGTCTTGTTCAACAGCTTCTGCTGGCGACACAGGCCGACCAGCAAGAAGTCTCCGTTTCTGTTCGATAAAATCATCTTCTTCAGACTCTTCTTCGCTGCTTGACATAGGTGCATAATCGGGTCTTTTACCAGACACATAACGATGCACTTTGACTTTCTGCATAGAAACCTCGCCTGTAAATATAGTTAAAGATGTTAACATAACCTATACAATATAGGGACTTTGGGTTTTTAACTGCAAGCAATAACATCTTACCTTTGTCATTTCTTACAGGTACAGCACCAGCTGTGCTCTGGATACTTATTCCTGCTATATTATTCATGTTGAAGTTTCAGGTGTAAAATAAAGCTAAACTTAATTTGCGATTTATCAACTATATTCCTTATTTAGTTCACTGGCCTACTTTATTCGTGGACCAAAGGTTGCCATAATTTTCACAGAGTGTACGTAATGTCAAGACCGTCAAGACCAAGACAATCCATAAATCAAATATCTTTGCACTGACGATGGACACGGAATCACAAAATTAGTAGCGATCGTAGCGATTAGTAGATTAGTAGGATTAGTAGTGTGTAGCGGTCGTAGCGTGGTAGAGGTCTAAGGAGTCTATGGCGCCTGTAGCTGGAAGGAGGGTCTGATCGGAAGATTTAAAGGTTCAGTATATGCATGGTCCGGAAGAAAATTGTATATGTGCACTCTGTGCTGACATGTGGATATTGTAGACATCAGAGCATAGATGACAACTCTGCTTACTCTGTATACTTTATTTTGGTTTTGTGTCTTTTATTTGCATTTCATTCTTTTACACTTCTGGTCACGATAAAGGTTTCGCTATGAGCTTAGAACTCCACCCACAAGATGCAGGTGAGCGAAATTTTATACCCAGTATGCATTGAATAGGAAGCTTGGTGATTCCTGGTGACATGTTGTAAATGACAGCAGGGGGGGAAAGTCCTGTTTTGGCATAAGAATACAGTCTGCTTTGCCACAAATTTAGAGCTGTAATAGCTCAGTCAGTATAGTGATTAGGCTTTTCAGTGGATGACAGTGGGTCAGTTTCTAAACTGGAGCAGACACTCTTCTTGACCCTCTGGGCACCACCCAGCTTCTGATCCAATGGGGCCTGGGGACCTGTTCCCCACAAGTAATGTGTTTCTGGGTGTGAAGCTGATCATTCGCCATCATCTAGCTCTGAGGTTCAAGGATACATATAGCACATCTTCGCTTCTCCACACATCTTAATGACATGGTGCAGAATTAAGTACAGGTGCATCTTTACTGTACCTGCCACAGTAATTATATAACTGGGCAGGTCTGTCAACACAGCACAATGTACAAAGCTGTGTTCTTCAGTTAGTTTTAGTTTCTGTGAAATTTAATTACTTTTGCTGGCTGAGGAAAAGTATGATGAGTTACCAGTGCATCTCATAACTGTACTCCAGCATCTTTCCAAAATTCTTTCTCCTTCAGAAAACCATACCCACTACTGACAGCCACAGCATCACACACTCAGTCAATTCAGACTCCACGGAGGTGATAATTCTCTGTGTGATAGCAGTAACATTGTCTTACAGAGCAGCATGGATGTAGTGTATGAGGGACAGCATGATAATAAGACCGAATGGATGTCTTCGCAGAACGATGTTCAGCTCACACCAACTAAAGAAGATTTATCTGATTCACTTGTACCTGTTGTTAAACAAGAGGAGGCAAGTCATGCAGTTGGTTTCATTTCTCTTTGTACTCCACACTGTCCAGACGCTGTGCAAGAGTCAAATGTATACAGTGTTGTAAAGTAGATTTGCTAGTAACTAACACATATGAACTAGAACTGTGACAATTTGAACTTCATATGTGTTTTTGCTAACACAGCTAATGTATATTGTCACATACTTGCATTATGTGTTAAGCAAACATACAAGACCTTTGAACTGACTTTGGTAATGTGATGACTGTCATCACACTCACCCCCCATGTCACAGCATTATGTACAACTATTGCACCTCCAAGAAGCAGTAACAGCAGCTTAGCCTTATAATTTATACTGCCTCAGGAATGTCTGTCAATCTTTTGTTGTATTTCTTATTTGAAATTAGGTATTGCATTGTACTTGACAGATTTCTTCCTCTCCCCACTTCAATTACACACTGAATTGCCTCAGTGGTATGTGGAGTTGTGTTATCAGTGACATATACATTGTAGCATCACTATACAGTTCTGCATACTGCAAGTTGTTTTCAGTGTAGGTAACAGGGTTGAATCATTTTCTTGCAGAGTTTTGTCATGATTCTCCCCAGCGCTTCCAGCAATGTAATAGGATAATACCTTAAATATGTTGAGACCATTTGTTTTTACATCCACCTTAACTGGTTGCTTTCCCTCATCCTGATGATGAGACTGTGTAACCTGTGCACATGGCAAAGGGATACTGTTATTTGCATCATAAAACTTACCTCCCTGCAGAATGTGGAAGCAGTAACTCCAGAAACCGAATCAGACAGTGAGGCCAAGCTGATGTCTTCTGTGAATGGTGATCCATTTGTTGATGTGAAACAAGAAGAGAAATCTGAACCATTCAGTTTTGTTTCTGTTAAGGTAAGGACTGCTTCATGTTGAGGGTTTGTGTACAACAGATTTCAATGTACAATGGTGAAGGCAGCTAATAAACTGTAAGACATGGAAAATTTGTAAAAATGCAAAAGTGGAAACACCAAGCTTTGTCCCCATCAGGATGCTGCCTTTGGCATCCATCGCCCTGATTCTAGAGACTGGATTCTGTCTTCATCCTCCAGTAAAAGCCTTGAACATTGGTCCAAATTGATGGAGCTAGTCCCTGTTGCAAGAGTCACTGCCAGAGTAGGCTTTACACCCGATGACAGAGAGTCTAGTCTCTGAATTGTCGTTAAAAAAAGTTGATGGATGTCCAAAAGAATCAATGCATTAATATACCATTGTCACAGACTTTTAAATCTTATTTGGATTGTCACTGCTTTCTTTTTATACACTGTGAATCTATTATTCATTCTCATGTGTTTACATATCTTTGTTCTGATAATAAATTGTATACAGGAGGAGCTGCTATGTAATGGTTCTGAAGTAGTAAAGTTTGAGATGGGACCAGATCCACCTGCTGACAGGTAAGATCACTTCATATCTTATATTTGTTATCAAAATATTCTTATAATTAATAAGTGGAAGGAATATAGTTTAAGAATGTATTAGAGTCACTGTCAAATGGGTCCCAACAAATTCACTTTTGTATTTAACTCTGTCAGTGTGGTAGCCTCTTGTGCCCATACCTCTTTCATTGTTTCAGATGAGGTGTGTTGCATACAGCTTTGTATAATTCTGATTAAGTGAATCTGGGAATGTACAGTTGCTGTAGTAATTATAGAAGGATATCACTGCTATCAACTTAATACAAAATTTTATCCAATATTCTTTTCTCAAGGTTAAGTCCATATATAGATGAAATTATTGGGGATCATCAGTGTGGGTTTCGACGTAACAGATCAACTACTGATCAGATCTTTTGCATTCGTCAGATACTGGAGAAAAAATGGGAGTACGAGACGACAGTACGTCAGCTGTTCCTAGACTTCAAGAAAGCCTATGATTCAGTTAGGAGGGAAGTATTGTACAATATTCTGACAGAGTTTGGGATATCCATGAAACAGGTTAGGTTGATTAAAATGTGTTTAAACAAAACGTATAGTAAAGTCCATGTAGGTAAACATTTTGTCTGATAAATCTTATATCCAGAATGGTCTAAATCAAGGAGATGTTTTATTGCCAGTCCTTTTCAACTTTGCTTTAGAATATGCCATTAGGAAGGTCCAGGGAAACCAGGTGGGACTGAAATTAAATGGGACACATAAGCTGTTGGCCTATGCCGATGATGTGAATCTACTGGGTGATAATGTAGATACCATAAAGAAAAACACATACTTTAATTGATGCAAGTAAAGAGGTTGGTTTAGAAGTAAACACAGAGAAAACTAAGTATATGTTGCTGTCTTGTCAGCAAAATGCAGGGAAAAATCATGACGTAAGGAGAGGAAACAGAAGTTTTGAAAATGTGGTTCAGTTCAGATATTTGGGAACAACGAAAACAGATCGAAACCTGATTCAGGAGGAAATTAAGAGGAGATTGAACTCGGGCAATGCTTGCTACCATTCAGTCCAGAACCTTTTGTCTTCTCGTCTACTGTCCAAAAACATAAAAATTAGAATATACAACATTAATTTTGCCTGTGGTTTTGTATGGGTGTGAAACTTGGTCTCTGACATTAAGGGAGAAACATAGACTGAGGGTGTTTGAGAACTTGGTGTTGAGGAGAATATTTGGACTGAAGAGAGATGAAGTGACAAGAGGTTGGAGAAAACTGCATGATGAGGAGCTTCATTCTCCAAGTATAATTAGAATGATCAAGTCAAGGAGGATGAGCTGGGCAGGGCATGTAGCACGAATGGGGGAGGCGAATGCATATAGGATATTGGTGAGAAAGCCAGAAGGAAAGAGACCACTGGGAAGACCAAGGCGTAGGTGGGTGGACAATATTAAAATGGATCTTAGAGAGATTGGATGGGATGGAACAGATTGGATTGATCTGGCTCGGGATAGGGACAAGTGGAGGGCAATTGTGAACATGGTGATGAACCTTCAGGTTCCATAAATTCTGGGAAATTCTTGAGTAGCTGCAGAATTGGCGGCTCCTCCAGAAGGGCTGAGCTCCAGTAGTAAGTAAGTAAGTGACTAGTCTCTCCAGGTTCACATGACTAACAGTGTGAATCCCAGTCTGCACTCCACTAGCCATCATGTCACATAGGATTTCCCTACCATGCTGTCAAACATGAGAATTCATGTCACAGAAACTCAGTGAAATGTTTCAAGCTGACGCTTTCTTTACAATATAAACTTGTAGAATTGTCACAGATGACCTGCTATGTCAATTCAGAGTAGGGATCCAGTATTTGAGATTCCTTTACCTCCATCATCAGCGAGCGGTCTCTGATGATAAAAGCAGAGAAAGTGTCTGAATTAGCGGCGGCCCAGGTTCGATCGCGGGTCTGGTCAAGTGGGATTTGTGAGGGACAAAGTGGCACTGGGGCAGGTTTTCTCCGAGTTCTTCGGTTTCCCCTGCCAATCTTCATTCCATCAATTGCTCCACAGTCACCCTCACCTATCATCTGGGGCTGGTACAATAGGCCAGAAGTGGCTGCAGTACAAGGGACTTAGTCCCACCCCACTAGCAATACAAAAAGAAATGTGTCTGAATTAATACAGTTGTCACCAAAGAACTATATTTCCATCTGTAAAAATTTTAATTACTTCAAATCAAAACCTGAACTGCTTTAATTTAAAATAAGAAACAGTATTTCCTCACTTCCAATTGTAGATGTCGGACCACAATAATATGATTTGTTGCATTGGGCAGTAGTATATGGATCGCGGGTGCATATCATAATCCCACATATTGTACCAATCCTTTATGCACAGTATAAAAAGTCATGACACAGGTGACAAAGCCTGCAATTCTGTAGGCACAATATAAAACTCGGGCCACGAGGAAAGCACATTCTTGATGCTTATATACTTCTATGCTCATCCAACTCCATACACTTAAATGCTTTAATTTTAGTGTTTTATTTTGTAGGGTCAGTGAGTTCGCTCTGCTACAAGATTGTACTGTACGTGATGAGACTTACAAGTGCAGAGTGCGTAGTAAGTGTTTCTTACAGCATGGGCTTCTCGAGTCCCACACTCAAACCCACATAAATGAGAAACCATGCAGGTGCAAAATTTGTAATAAAGGTTTTACACAACAGGATAATCTTGCTGCTCATGCTTATATTCACAGTGAAGATAAACCTTACAAGTGTGATCAATGTGGAAAGAGTTTTACCCAACCTTATCATCTTGTAGTTCACACCCGCATACATGTTGGAGATGCACTATTTCTATGTGATGTTTGCTCTGAAGGATTCATTACTCGTGACCACCTCTTGGCTCATACTCGACGACACACTGGTGACAAGCCATTCAAGTGTGAAATATGTAACAAATGTTTTACCCTTCGTGGAAAACTGAATGTGCATCTTCGAACTCACAATGCAGATAAACCCTTGAAGTGTGAATTTTGTAACAAATCTTATACGAAGCATGATCATCTCATGGCTCACATTAACACCCATACTGGAGAAGCAGTCTACAAATGTGAAGTTTGTCCCAAACGTTTCGCACGTAAACGCTCCCTCATGGTTCATAAGCGACTGCACACAGGAGAAGGTCCTTATAAATGTGACATTTGTTGTAAGAGTTTCACAGTAAGATTGGACCTTGCAACTCATATTCACAGTCACACTGAAAACAAACCCTATAAATGTGAAGTGTGTGGTCTGGGATTCGCACAGCGTGGAAGGCTTTTTAAACATACCTTGCACCTTCATAATAATGATAGACCTTTCCAGTGTGATGCATGCAATGAATCATTTACAGTTCATGAGCATCTTGTAACTCACAGTTGCACACACATGCCTTAAAAATGTTGTACTTGTGCCCATTAGGATATGATTCAATGGAACTGTTTCTGGCCTTTGCAGTCCAACCTGCAGATAATATATGTATATATTATGTGTGATGTTTTCTGCAAACTATTGAACTCTGTGGATACATTTTATCTGACAGCCAGGAATGGATGCAATTTGTGGTGTGGAATTGTCTGAATCACATTTATTAAATGCAGAATATATCATTATCTGTATTTTTCTTTTGAAATAACTCCCTTTGTACCGTACTTACTTTGTGCATTACACCTATACTGAGGTCCCTGTTGTGACATTTTATGCATATTATTTTTGTTACTTCCACGTGGATCGAATGATAAGTGAGAATCAGTGTTCGCTCTACTCCTGCTTTATTAAGACTCTGACATTTGATACAGAAGTACGCCTTATATACACATACAGGCTTATAACCATAGTAACACAAAACAAAAAAAATGTTAATCCCAGCATAATATATGCTTTTCTGAAAGCATGAGAGGTTAGCAGTTGGTTTATGAAGACAGTGTTTGTGTCTTGTGTTAACAATGTGTACATCCACATTCGTCTGAAAAGGTTCTTCGTTATTTGTAATGAAGTTTATTAATGAATATATATATTCACAAGGCAAAGTTAAGATCTGTAATCTCTTAAATAGATCTAAACAGGAATTATGGGATTTGACCCCCATCATGATTCTAACAGTTTTCTTTTGCAATGTAAATACCTTTTTACTGTCAGATGAATTACCCCAGAAAATTATTTCATACTTCATTAAAGAGTGAAAGTAAGCAAAAGAGATTGATTTGAGAGTGTCAGTGTTAGTAATACATAACATGAATCTAACTGTATAACATGCTCTACTTAACTTTGGAATCAACTGATTGATATCGTTTTTCCGGTTTAAATGATTATCAATTTGCAAGCCAAGGAATTTTGTGTTTACTCCCTCTTCAATATATTTATCATTATATCCTATGTTTAATGGATACTGTGGTGAGTTTTTTGTGATAAATGTTATTACATTTGTTTTTTCTAGGTTCAGGGACAGCTTGTTTGCCGAAAACCGTTTACTCATTTGCAAGAACCTTGCTTGATAACATGAAGAAATCGTCTAAATTTTTACCCGAAATTATAACATTAGTGTCATCTGCAAATATTATAGGTATTGAGAGATCCTTAGTGTAGGAGGGAGGTCGTTTATATAAATTATGAAAAGCAAAGACCCAAAAATTGACCCCTGTGGAACTCCATGTTTTATTATTCCCCAGTTTGAGTAGGTACTTTGGATTGAATTTGATGTTTTTATTTCAAATTTTTGTTTTCTGTCTGTTATGTAGGATCTGAACCAACTTAACAATGTTCCTTGAATGCCAAGAAAAATGTAATTTAGTTAATAAAATTTAATGATTTACACGATCAAAAGCCTTTGCCAAGTCACAGGATATTCCACCAACATGCATTTTTTGATTAATAAATATCAACACACTGTTAATTTAAAGGCTGCATTTTCAATGGAAATTCCTTTCCTAAAGCCAAACTGTTCTGGGACTAGTATATTGTTACTAAGAAAATAATGGCTTAACCTATTGTGCATAACTTTTCAAGTACTTTAAAGAAAGTAGGTAGCAGTGAAATTGGCCTGTAGTTTGACATACCAGTCTTGTCCCGTTTTCTATATAGTGGTCTAACTACTGAAATCTTAAGATGATCAGGAAAGATTCCTGTGGCTAGTGAGTGATTACAGCTGTGAGTTAATGGGCTACTGATTAAGATGCACAAACTTTTAAAAATTTACTTGTTATTCCATCGTAACCTGAAGAGTTTTTTTGTTTTGAGGTAATGTATTATATTTTTTATGTCAGTTTCAATGGTTGGAATGGTTTTAACACCAGGGAATTTTTTAGGAAATGCTTCTCTTAAAAATGAAATGACATTTTCTCCCACTTCCTGATGCAAGTTTAGATATTCTGTAATTGTTAGAAAGAAAAGTACTGAAGGCATCTGCAATTTATCCTGAGTCCTCAGCTTTTTCATAATTTATAAGGAGAGATGGTATCTGTTCAATCAGATGTGATTTTCCTGTTTCATGTTTTACTATATTCCAGGTTATTTTTATCTGATTATTCGATTTTGCTATAAGCCTACAGTAATGCTGCCTTTTAGCCTCTTTTACAACTCTACTCAGTATTTTGCAATACCTTATGTAGTATGCTCTCATGTAGGGATTATTACTGTTCTTGCTGTCTACATACTGACGCCATTTATTTTTACAAGATGTTTTTATTCCTTGTGTAATCCAATGGTTTTTTTATTCAACTTACACTTTTATTCTGCATAGGAAAACTGGCTTCAAAGCTATTTAGAAAAATATATAAAAAAGAGTTAAATTTATAATTTGTATCCTTATTTTTGAAAACAGGTTCCCACGTTTCATTTTCTAATAGATGTTGAATTTACTTCTTACTGTAAGAAATTGAGTATCATGGTCAGAGAGGCCATTGACTATAGGAGATGTACAAGAAGAGCTTAACCTTGCATTATCTGTAAGGATATTAACAATGGCTGTGCTTGAGGAATTTTGAACTCTTGTTGCGAAATTCACTGTGTGTGACAGATTGTACAGGGTGGGGCGCATAAACTTCCTTTTTGTGAAGACGCATTGTGAAGGGAGGGGAGGTCGCAGAAAAGTGGGGATAGGCTTGGCGAACGCAGGAGTCGCAGAAGTTTCTGCCTAATACCCCTCAGTAGGAAACATGAGGTGGATGAGTGACCAGCGTGCGTTTGCTGTCGAAGCCTATTTTTCGAACAACCATTCCTACGTGGCGGTGTAGCGTGCATTCCATACTCACTTTGGAATTAAGCCCAGAGGTCCGGTTCCGAACCAGAAATCGATTGTTTTGTGGGTAGAGAACTTTAGGATAACTGGGAGTGTGGTGAAAAAATCATCAGGATGACAATGGACCGTTACAGCACCAGAAAATGTGGAGGCAGTTCAACAGTCGATTTTAAGATCTCCAAGACATTCCGCTCGCAAACATGCAGTTACCTTAGACATATCCAATCCTTCAGTGCGCTGAATTCTTCACGAACATCTTAATTTCCTTCCCTGTAAGATGGTTGTTGTGCAAGAATTGTCACCATGTGATTTCCAGAACTTAATAATGGAGTGTGAAACTTTATTGGAAACTTTACCCCCTGATGCACTTGTTTTCTTTAGTGATGAGGCACATTTTCACCTATCCAGATATGTCAACAATCAGAATATGCACCATTGGAGTGGTAACAATCCCAGAGAGCTCCATGAGAGGCCACTTCACAGTGATAAGGTGACAGTATGGTGTGTGTTGTCGAGAGTTGGAGTTATTGGCCCTTATTTTTTTGAAGAAGACAATCATGCAATTACTGTCAATTCACAGTGGTATGTGGACATGATTAAAAACTTTTTCGAACCAGCTCTTGAAGAAATGCATCTAGGAAATGTCTGGTTCCAACAGGGTGGTGCCACAGCCCACACAGCCCAAGCTTTGATGACAGTTTTGAGGGCAAAGTTCCCCAGACGGCTCATCTCGCTTCGAGGTGACATCCCGTGGGCAGCGCACTCACCAGATCCAATGACCTATGATTTTTTTTATGGGGATACCTCAAGGCAGAGGTTTTTAAACATTGCCCCAGAAACCTGCTTCAGCTGAAGAATGTTATTTGGCAGGAAGTAGCCCAAATTCTGGTGCACATGTTGGAACGTGCAGAGGAGAACTTCAGAAAATGGTTGCATCAGTGCACAGAGAATGGTGGCCACCACCTTCAAGATATTTTGTTTAAAACTACATGATTTGAAACTTTAAAGTGTGTTCTTTCATTAGCTAAGCATAAATTTTGTCTATTAGCAATAATTTTCTTTTATTCGCCTTCAAAAAAAGGAAGTTTCTGTGCCCCACCCTATATGTCCTTATGAAAGAGTTTACTTGTTTCTTCTGACTGCTTTCATTTAAATTGTTTATGTTTATGTCTCCAAAACTCAGACTTTGGATTGTACAGATATTTTAAAGTTGCATCTAGTCTCCTTTGAAATTCATTAACCTCTCATGAAGGGGCTCTCTACAGGCTTTATATAATTAGGTGGGGTGTTTTAGTTACTAGCTGCATTGCACAGATTTCAAAGTCTTGCTACTTACAGTGATGAGAAATATCAATTTTACTGAAATGTAAATCTGTCTTAACAAAAATACAAACTCCTCCCCTCTGTAGGCTCCTTCATCAGAAAGTTGAGCCTAACAGGTAACCATTCATTCAGAGGAGCAGCAATTCCTGTTCAACCCTGTGATGCTCACTTAGACACAATATGTGAGGGTTTATGTTGTCTATTTCAAAAGAGTGTAGTAATTCATCACTTTTGCTTCTCAAGCCTCTGGTATTTTGGTAAAAGATATTTATTGCATTTAATGTTTCTGCATTTTGTCTGTGAATTTCCAAGACTACTGGACTGCATTTAATATGTGTTAGGCATCTTGGTGTTTTTTAATTTAATTTATAAAGCTCCCATGAAGTTGGCAGCTGTGGAGAGAGATTGGTACATGAAAATGTAATCTGTGTAGAGACTTCATCTTTAACACATGCTATATACATATACAGTTCCATCTTATGAGAGATGTATAATATTTTTCAATTAATGGAGAATAACCGTTTCTGAAAGAAGTGAAACTGCGAGAGACATTAAGAGTATGGCCAATGTGACCTGATGTATGTAGCTTGGTAGGTATCAAACTATGAGTCATGTCTTCAGACCTGGTCTCTTGGGTTCAGTGAGAAGTATGGCAACATGAGGACAGTGGTTGCATTTGGTGATGGTGTGTAACTAAGGCTCTGTTATAACAGTTCACCCTAGAATGATCTCTAGGATACACCAAAGTGCAAGTCACATCGTCTGTGGCCGTAATTTGAGAATACAAATGCCAACACCATCCTTAAGGAATTCTAGTCTCATTTGGTGTATATTTTAATGAAATATTTGTTACTGCCCACGTGCATATCGGTGCTGTTTATGTATTATTCACCTACGTGAGCATACATGCACTGTTCGGAAAAATTCAAAATATATAGAAACAATGTTGATTTCCGTGGGCAGTTGTGAACGTAGCAACTTCCTGTCTTGCATACAGACTTGCTGTGCTACACTCTCATGTAAATGTAACCAGCAAGTTTTAGCCTTCTATGGCCATCATCAGATATGTTTGCGTAAATGCTTCACTTTATTGCTTTTTGTACTTCATTGTTCAAAAAATTTTGTTTAAATTAATATATATGTCACAGCATAGCGCATACACGTCATCAACAAATGCAACTGGAAGGTGAAATATAATAATACAAAAATGGGTTGATGGAGAGAATTCGTGACACGAACAATCACGGTTTACTTGAGGCAGACCTGTTCATTTTCACATGTTCCGACGGTAACCGACAATAAGTGCGACATGAACATGATCGAACATGATCGTCAAAAAGTTTTATGTCACGCGGTGTCTGACGGAAGACCTAAAATCCAGATAACGTGTTATGCTGATAATTGTATAGATGAGAGTCGTGATTTTAACGCACTAGCATTTACTCGACTGAGTACTGTAAAAATGTGTAAACAATGTTGAAGACATATTTCTTAGATATAAGGCCCCATAGTCCAGCAGAAGTCCGCCGACGTTTCGGAGGACCGTGCAACCACCATCTTCAGGATTGAAGAGCAAGAGAAGCAGGAGTTAAGTGAAACAAGCCGCTTGCAGGAAATGAAGATCTGATATAGGGTGTAAATGCCAGTGGAAGGAGCTTACAAGTTGGCCCAGAAGGTGCAGAAGATGGAGGCAGTACGGCCCAGTGGAACGTCGGAAACGGTCGGAAGACTCCTGCTTAATTAAATGACGCTACATCCCAGAATATCATACTCATCGATCTTGTCTCAGTGAGTGTTAGAATCTCAGACCCAATAACAGTATTGTCGTTTGTTATACACCATTTACAGCTAATGTTTGTGACACACGTCATTGGTGCTTGCGTTGTTAATTACAGTATTAATTGTAATCACGGATGTAAACTCCACCCCCAAGATGGAGATGAATGAGCAAGTTCTGTGCTTCAGTCATTTTATACCTGATAAACATTGGACATGAGTGGACATGATAGGCATTCATTTTACAGCATAAATCACGACTCCCTTGGCGATTCTACCAGTCTTATGACTTGGTATCAGCGATTAAAGCAGAATTTTGTAAAATTCTATATGGGAGAAGTAATCTTTGGTAATTCCTTCTTTTAGTCTTGCTGATCCATTAACCTTAAGGGTATAAATGGCTCTATTAAAGGACTGCAGATACGCTGAATAAAGTGCAAAGTGTGTTTTGAGTTTCTTTTTTTTGGTATTTTCAATTTTAATGGAGACAAATATTGTAACCTCTTGCTGACAGAACCACAGCATCAAGCGTATGTGATGTGAGTAGCATTGTCTTGCAGCAGAACATGGATGTGACAAATTTTGATGATAGGACTCAGAAGATGCCTTCACAGAATGATGTTCAGTTCACACCAACAAAACAAAATCTGTCCAGTGGACTCAGTTTTGTTTGTGTTAACAATGATGAGGTAAGTCTTCCAGTTTTTTCATTTCCCACCTAACTCCATTGATTCAATTTTTGTGTAGTTTTCAAGTATACCCAGCAGACTTATTAATCACTAACAATTATAAAACTGAAATATGAAAATAAGAGGCATTTATAAATTCTGCAACTTCTCACTGTAAGTCTCTGTTCAGTATTTATATACCTAATGCGAACTGACATCTGTAAGGTTGCAGATCATATGGAACTTGCTTAACTCGGAAGAAAGTATCAACTTCCTATTTACCAACTTGCTCTTGTAATTAGCTCTGCATCAGGCAATTTGCTGCAGTTCTTGTTTCAGATTGTGTACATGAGCACTGATTCTTGCATTGATGTCTCTGGTGGCGTTATAACTGACCCACTCAGTGAGACCTCAAGCCCCACACATTGGTCAACATATAACTGTCCTCTTAGTGCCCTTACGTTGGGCTCCACTTAATCTTCCATAACCGTCCCTCCTACCTTCCACCTGTGGCTCTGTCTGAATAGTAGTGCAGGGAGTGGGAGTCGATGGTGATCGGCCCCTCTGCTCTGATGACCGCTTTGACGCTGCCCTACTTGGTGTTGCTGCTGCTGAAGTTGCTAGGTCGTAGCTGGTTTCGACTTGACCCAACTGCACTGCTTCTTCCTTCAGTTGACATTATTAGTGTTTGGGTTTCAGGATTTGGATCCAATAATGTGGGCGGCAGCAAACAGTTAGAGACTGTTTACGATTCATAGTAAGTGGAGGAAGGAGTGGGCATGTGAAAGCTGAAAGTGGGTTTGACTAGTTAGTGGAGATGAGTCTCTCTTCAGGTCGGATACTGGTCAGGTTCGGACAAATGAGGGTGAAGCACCTTTAATCAACACAATTCACTGTACCACCACAACACTTTATTGTTGTTCTTCTTAAAGACACTCGGCTGCATAAATTCACACAGTCTGATTTAGCTTTGGCTTACAAGCAGCTGGTGGTACACTTACACTAAAATGCACTCAATCACCTCGCCAAATTCTTTTGTGCCATGCTCTGGTTGATTAAGCTAAATCTCAATATGAGTCGTCATGAGAGCAAAGTTTTTAGCGCGTGTGATGTGGGGTTTGCCTCCGCCAAGTTCGAAAGTTTATAGACGACTAAAGTCTTAGACTGAACTCTCTGCTGAGCCAGAGGTCCTAACTGAGTTGTATCTGCCTATTCTCCTCTCCTCTCCTAATTTTCCTGATAGGCTGATTCAAATAATAGGAGTTGGCTTAATTTTTGGTTCCGGCCAATGACAGTGTGTTTTTAAGGGAATTTCGCCCTAAAAGACCAAATGGCGAAATTGACAACGATGCAACTTATGAGGGGCCGCTAATGATCTCCTGGCACTCCCACATTTGACTTACGGCTCGTAGAAACTGTCACTTCCCAAATTTTCAAAGTGTCTTGCCGCTTTAAGTCTTAATTCTCAATTTCTAAAGAAACTCATTGGGACTTCTTGAAGTATCACTTTCTGCCCTTTTGGAAAATAACACCAGATGCTTGGATGCAAGAACTAGCAGATGTCCTTGTCTACGCAAGTTTGGTCAAACTGCTCATCGCCTATTCTTTGTTCTTACAGTGTATCTTAAACCTTTGTTTCTTCATAAATTCTTGTTATTAATTCTGTGAGCTACTGCAACAAAAAAAGGGGGGAAGAATTTCGATGGTGCGGTTACAGCATGTGATGTTGTGTTATCTCACTTCAGATAATCACCATTTGCATATTGCAAGGACATTTCAGTTGATAGAATGCAGATCAGAGGAATGAATTAATTCCTCCTAAGTGCCACCATGTAATTGTAATGTGATACCTTGAATATCCCATGACCATTTGTTTTTGCATTTCCCTGTTTGTTGATTGTCCTCAGCCATCATGCCATTGAGACTACATAAACTGAAATTGACAGAGGCTTATTAAATAGCCCACAAAATAACCCAGTTTGAAATAGAATTGTGGTTAGTTGTATGGTGAACTTTATTTTCCTGCAGAACATGAATGTGAAAGCAGAACCCCAGTCTGATAATGAGACTAGGTCAGTATCGTCTGTGAATGGTGATATGAAACAAGAAGAGATATCTGAACCATTCAGTTTTGTTTCTGTTAAGGTGAGGACTGAATCTAAGTGCTGACATGTTTTTGTTATGTAGCCATCATTGACTGTGAATCAAAAATAGGGAAAGTCCTGTGTAACATCTGGAAAAGAAATTTACATGTTGAAATAATATTCAGTACTGTATAATGCTCATAAAATCTTTTGTTTACTTTCAATTCACAGTGGTCATACTATGTTCTAAGCTGCAAGACAATGACAGTTTATGCTTTAATGTAGAAGTGGCACCAAGTAACACACCAAGGTGTGTCTGAATGCCTGTTGGTGACATCACATTAGAGTACGTTATCTCTCATTCATGTTATTACATTTATATTGTATGTCACCAACAAAAGTATTATTGAAAATCATTACTGCTGCTTTACTCTATATATGATATAATGATGTGTAACTCTTTCTCACATATATTTTCATCAATGTTATAATGAATTATATACAGGAGGAGCCACTGTGGGATGGTACTGAAGTGCTGAAAATTGAGATAAAACCTAAGGTTGCCAGTGACAGGTAATAGAATTCCTCTTCTTCCATGTATTACCAAAATGGATCTTTAATTGCTAATTATGAGTGATATAATCTAACAAATGGAGCCAGGATAGTGCAGTCAGTGTAGCGACTGGCTACAGGCTGGACAGCTGAGGGGTCAGAATCCCAGTCCCGGTGGGGGCAAGAATTTTCTCTTCATGATGCACTCCAGACCAGCTCTGGGGCCCATCCAGTGGGTACTGGGGGTTTTTTTCCCTGGAGAAAAACAGCCATTTGTGAAGCTGACCAGTCACCTCCAAGTAGTGCTGAAGTCAAGAAAAGATGGACCTGTATGTTCACTCCCCCATACACCTTCATGGTATAGTGTTTAACTTTTAAAGAGTTACTTGTGAATTCACTTTGTCAGCATGGCAGACTCTTGAATTCTTGACTCTAAGCATTTCAGACAAGATGTGTTGCACACCAATCCAATCTATATGTTGCTCTGCTAAGGTACCATTTGTTGTGTATGATTATGCATCTATTTCTAGCAGAAGGATGATGATGATGATGATGATGATGAACATGAACATGAACATGAACATAAATGAGGTCTCCATAGCCATAGAGACACAGTCTGTTTTGAGGTGGCTTATCAGGAGAAAAGATTTTATCAGTGTGTAGTGTGTTTTATTGGGTAACATTTAAAGGGCACATAAGTTCAGTATGTTAATAATTTTGAACCAAAATTGCAATCGATGTACCTGAAATGTGGTAGGGCACATCCTGTCCACAAACACCACATGGTTGCCCATGATAATCTGAATTCTTGATTTTTGAGTAGTATTCTTCTAAACCAGTCATTTTAGCATGACAGATAATTGCATCTGCTATACCCAAATGCTAAACCTTGTCTTTGAGAATCTTGTTCCAAAGTAAAACTGAGCAAGTAGTAATACAGGTACATTGCCTTAATTTCTCATCCCTCCCCATACACATACACATTTTAATGTGATGGTTATCTTTCCAGGGCTGATGAGTTGCATTTGCTGCAAAGTGATTGTACTGCAGGTAATGAGGCTTTCGTGTGTGTCAGTATTAAGTGTTCCTTACAACCTGAGGTTCTTAGGTCACACACTCAAATCCACACAGGCCAGAAACCATTCAGGTGTGACATCTGCAATAAAGATTTTACACGATGGAATAATCTCATTGCTCATTCTCGCATTCACACCGGAGATAAACCTTACAAATGTGAAGTGTGTTCCAAAGGTTTTAACACTAATTCGTGTCTCTTAAAACACTGTCGCATTCATACTGGAATCAAACCTTACAAATGTGATGCATGTGGAAAAAATTTTACTCAGCGAAGTCACCTTGTGGTTCACACTCGTATACATACTGGAGATACACCATTTGTTTGTCATATGTGCAGTAAGGGATTCATAACTCACAAACAACTCTTGGCTCACATTCGAAGACACACTGGTGACAAGCCATTCAACTGTGAAATATGTAATAAAACATTTTACTTGCATGGGTCACTAAGTGGCCACATGCGAACCCATAGTGTACGTAATCCCTTTAAGTGTGAGTTGTGCAACAGAAGTTTTGGGAGACGTGTTGATCTCGTGGCTCATAACACCACACATACTGGAGAAAAGGTGTACAAGTGTGATGTGTGCCCTAAACGTTTTGCACGTAAAGGTACTCTTATGATTCATAATCTACTACTTACAGGTGATCATCCCTGTAACTGTGATATTTGTTCTGAAAGTTTCACAGTAAAGTGGGATCTTGTGACTCACACTTGGAAGCACACAGGTCACAAGCCCCACAAGTGTGAAGTGTGTGGTGTGGGATTCACTCAGCGTCGGACTCTTCTGAAACATACCCATACTCTTCCATAGTTGTTACAGATCCTATGGATGTGATCAGTGAGGTAGTACAGGTCTGCTTCGTGAGCGTTCTGTAACTTTCTCATGCATTCATATACTGTAAAACAACTTTCTGGATTCTGGTCTTGCCTCTATTCTAACAAATAGGAAATATTTTATCAAAATTTTGATTGTGTGTGATATACTACTGAAATGTGCCAGCTGTACACATCTAAGCTAGTATGCAAGGACTGAATGTACTTTGTGGTGTTACCATGTCCAAATTACCCAGTCATCTTTTCAATACACAAAATAAAATGTTTGTGCAGAGACAATGTACATACTTTCTTTTATGAGACTGACCTTGCATATCTTACATACCAAACAATGAAATCCATCCAATTGGTCAAGCAGATTTTGACGTCTCCCATCTGGGGCCCTAATCCACATACTTTTATTTTTCTCAAGATTCCACCTCTGCAGTTTTATTTAAGGAAGTGATGTCCAAATATCTCTGAAATTGAGTCAAAATTGTTAGCGATGAGTTAGAGGATATCGCCATTACATTTTCAGGTGTTCATCTATAGGGCCTCAGTTTTTGGAACTAGAACATTTATATTCAACAGGCATGGACTTGTGTGAACTCCTGAATATGGAATGGGGTTTAAATTCAAGCATTAATGGTGTTAGAGGGGCCACATCAATACATACAGACTAAATTAATGTGTATGTTTATCACAGTCCTTCAGTAATGCAACAATTTTTCCTTTTTTTAATCTTCCAATTTCACCATTTAGCACTTAACATGTTTCGGCCATAAATGGCCATCTTCAGATGTCTCAATGTATTGGAACTGCTACATTGCTCTCATATGCACTAAAACCATGCGTTGCATACCACTCATAAGGGCCGTTGTCCACTTGATTAGAGCTGTGTGATTTATTTCAGCAGCTTGTTTTTATGTTTGTTAGCCCTTTGCTTTGTTATGACTGCAATCTGCAACATGCCCCTTGCTTGTATGTTGTTTGCTCTAGCAGCGTGTGGTGTGTTTACTTCCATATTTATATGCCTTGTATGATGGCAGCCACTCAATTTCTGCTTCAGCCAATACCCTTCATGGCCTTCCCACATCAGACAACAATTCTGCAGGAATGGACGGCCGAAAGATGTTATGTTAAGTATTAAATTGTGAAATTGGAGGAATAAAAAAGGAACAATTGTTGCTTTATTGATGGACTGTGATATTCATAGACGTTAATTAAAGATTTGCAACATGATACTGAAGTACAGAAATACAGTCTAAATTCCAAAAACCACATTCTTGTATTTGTTGGGACCCCCAAATGTGTCTGTCAAAATCTTGGGATCAATTTCTTTCAAGGTCACAGTACTTTCTCATACATACTATGTATATAAGAAAGTATGTATCTTAATGTGGTCTCTAATAAAATCAGTCCATTCATTTTTACCTTGTGGATTACATAGGTACTGAAAATTCTCCTGCATTAAAATATCTGTGGGAACATCCCACATTATCACGCATTTCTGCAACGCTCGCTCTTCACATCGCTTTTCACCATCACGCGCGCTAACCAATCAGATTGCTTCAAACGATCGCACTTATACTACGCTCGGCGATAGCCCGCGTCTACACCATTACGCGCGCTAGCCAATCAATTCTTGCTCCTCACTTTCGAGTTTGGCTCCGCCCCACCGACCAGCATATAAAAAGGAGCGACTCCAGAATGCAGTTTAATTCAGTTCGATTCAGTTCACTTCAGCAAGCAACTTCAGCCAGCAGGCTTCGTCGCCAGCGCTCCGTCTTCGGAAACATCGGCAGGCTGCGCCAGGCACGACTGCCTCGGCTCACCAGCGCTCTCACACCCGACTCACTGGGGCACAGCGCCTGGACTCGCCGGTGTTCGTGTTACGGTCTGACTCACTAGGCATCTGGCGTAGCCACTGCCTCATGGCTCCTACGACCGCGCTCAACGACTAGCCTTTCACCAGCAGCTGCCGCACTGCGATCAAGCAGCCTCCAATTCACGCTGCCGCACGGCAACCAAGCAACCTCCAGCCACGGCCGCATGCGGCCAGGCCACTCACCGCAACTAGCCTTTCTCCTTACCGGCGCGCGCCGCGCTACCTCACCGGTCAATCATCTCAGCAGCCACGGTCCTTTTCAGGGCCAACAAACTGTTCCGAAGAAGTGGGTTGTCATCGGAGTAGTGACAAGACTACACACACGTTAACAAGAGTGCCCCACATATCTATGTATAACACAGTCCTTCAATAATGCAGCAGATTATTCCTTTTTCTTCCACTTAAATTCAAGCGTTAAGCTGTTAAGATGGGCTCAAAATCTTCGGATCAGTTTCTTTTATGGTTACAGTACTTTCTCACATGTAACAGAACAATGGGCTAACAAACATAAAAACAAATTGCTGCAATAAAACACCTGGAGATAAACATATAGTTCTAAACAAGTAGATGAAATCCCTTGTGAGGTGCAATAAAATTTTACCAAAGTAATGAGAACATTTTAATGGATTTTATTTTATTAAGTGGACTACAGCCAGTGATTTTAATGCATATTAATGCAGTGTAACAGTTTTAATATATTAAGACACCTGAAGATGGCCATCTAAGGCCGAAACATGTGCTAAAGTAAAAGTGGAAGAAAAAGGAACAGTATGTTGCATTACTGATGAACTATGTCATACATAGACATTTTAATATGGCTTGCAACAGGATGCTTAAATACAGAATTCTGCATTATTATTTTATTTTTGTGTGCCTAGTAGGTTTATAAAGTTATTAATTTTAATGTGAGTATACCGTATGTCCAAAAAGTATTCGACTTTATTTTTCCCCCTGTAAGTAATGGCCAAAGGAGTGGGGAAACTGAGCGTAGTGGTATAAGGGACCTTCATGCGCATGCGTGATTTTTGCTGACTCGCAACACTGCCGGATGCGTGTGTGGCTGCCAGATAGCGAAGTGGTGTAAAGTGTGTCCATCGCATTCTCGTTTGGGCATGTGAAGAGTGGCGGCAAAATTTGTGCCCAAGCTGCTTCCGCCAGAGCAGCAACAACTCCGCCTTGAGGTCGCGCAGGACATGCTGGAGTGCGCCAACAGGGATCCTGAGTTCCTGAAGACTGTGATCACTGGTGACGAGTGGTGGATGTATGGATATGACCCGGAAACCAAGGTCCAGGCGTCACAATGGAAGCATCCAACATCCCCGAGGTCCAAAAGAGCACGACAGGTTCGGATCAATGTGAAGGTGATACTGACTGTTTTTTTCAATTACCAGGGTATTGTGCATCATGAGTACGCACCACTAGGCCAGACTGTCAGTAAGGAGTACTACCAAGAAGTCCTCCGCCATCTTCGTGACGCAGTTCGGTGCAAGAAACCGGAGCTGTGGGACGCACGCAACTGGCAGCTTCATCATGACAATGCCCCAGCTCATTCATCGCACCTGATCCAGGGTTTCCTGGCCAAGCATGGCATTCTGCAGGTTCGCCAGGCTCCCTACTCTCCTGACATGGCTCCTTGTGATTTGTGGGTGTTCCCGAGATTGAATACACCGCTAAAAGGCTGCCGTTCTGACAGCCGCGAGGACATCATACAGAACGTGATGGCGCAGCTGCACGCCGTTCCAAAAGAAGCCTTCCAGAATTGCTTCCAGCGATGGAAGGACCGCTGGGCTAAGTGTGTGGAGTCACAAGGGGCCTACTTTGAAGGCGATTAGGTATTGTAACCACCCAGATACAGCACTTTTTTTCCCCGGCGCAAGGTCAGATACTTTTTGGACAGAGTAGTATATCATGAATGTGAAAAGTTATTTCTAGTTGGACTGTGGTTAACCCAGAAGACCCAGACTGCCACCATGCCTGGCCCCTTTCACATAAATTACACAGTTTTTTGACCATTAAAAAATATATTTTTTATTTTATTGTCTGACTTATTCATATTCATTTGGATTATATACATATATATATATATATGTATACTTTTTATGGAGATTTTGCTTATATGCATGGCATATTATATAGAAACATTATGCATAACAATATGGTTGCTCAATCTGTAGAAGCAGTTTAAGAATGGGTAGAATAAACAGTGATTAGTCCTGTTGAAACCAAGTATTTAACATTAGTTATATTTATCATCCTGATTTATGTTGCAAAGTACATGTGCATCACTTTCTGCAGTGGCTGTAAGCTTTGGAAACAATAAAAAACATGAAATGTCTATTAAGAAATATATGGAAAAACCTGTTGTTGAAAACTGGTTTTCTGGGATGAGGTGCCATGTAGTTCAGTCAATCCTTCAACCTAGTAAAGTACATGGCGTCACATCACAGAACACTAAAAGCAAACTCCATGGTTTTAGTCCACAAGCGAACTATACTGACCGAGCTATCGCTGCTTGTTGGCAAAGTGCCAATTTTAGCAAATAGAGGGTGTCACATAGTCAGCGGATGAGCGTTGTGTAGGCTTTTTTTTTTTTTTTTTNGGTGGGTTTTCTCTTAGTACTTCGGTTTCCTATGCCAATCTTCATTCCACCAAATTCTCCATCATAATCACCCGGGGCACCCTACGATAGGCGAATCAGTGGCCGCCGTGCTGAGTGGACCCAGTTGGACTACACCCCCCACTAATCGAATTAAAAGAAAAAGAATTTTATATAAAACATTGTACTGATTATTAACCGATTTAAGTTAAGATCTATATTAAGAATCGCGGGGTGATCGATATTATAGAATAAGATGCTTATAAGAATGTGCTACAGGAGACCGGATTGGCATTACCTAGGCCTTTTTTGTATTTACAGTAACTTTTTATACAATAAAAAATCTCGCGGCCGTTAATTTCGGTTTTATATACCCAAGCCGCTATTTCCTTGAAATAGCTCAATTATGCTCACGAGGCTGAGTGGACCCCCTTCCAGACTCACTACTTCTCAGAAAATCTGGTAGCGCCGGGAATCGAACCCGGACCTCTGGATCTGTAGCCAGGAACTCTGTCTCTAGACGCTCTAGACCACAGAGGCTTTTCACAGTACACTGTAAACGGAAATTTCACAATCGCAGATCTCGATGCTGTGCTTCAGTATTGTCATTATCAGCATTGTAATGTATGCTTGAAGAAAGCAGTCTTCTGGGATTTGGCACCGTGTATATGGGACCCGGTCCCGACAAGCTCAAGGACTTCCTGAACCACCTAAATAGTATCCAGCAGTGCATCCAGTTTACAATGGAAACTGAAACTGAAGGCCACCTCCCCTTCCTGGATATAGATATTTACAGGAGACCCGACGGTTCCCTGGGCCATAGAGTGTACCGCAAATCCACCCATACTAACCTGTACCTTAACGCTGCGTCCCACCACCACCCTTCCAACAAGCAAGCTGCACTTTCTACATTGGTGCACAGGGCTAGAGCACTGTGTGATCAAGACAGCCTACATGCGGAGTTGCTGCTCCTGAAGGATGTATTCAAGAAGAACTGATACAACATCCGGCAGATCCACAGAGTTCTCAACCGTCGGCCCAACATCAGCCGGCCTGAAGACAGACCGGGCTCAGTCGCCTTCCTTCCCTATGTCGGGACCATATTCAACCGTATCAGCAGAGTGCTGTCCCGGCACAACATCAAAGCAGTGGGTCTGCCTCCAAACAAATTATCAAATTTCCTCCGGCCGGTTAAAGACAGTCTGGGCCTAAGGACACCGGGTGTATACAGTATCCCATGCGAGTGCGGGAAGGTCTATATTGGGCAGACAGGCCGCTCCGTGGACATGAGGTTGGAGGAGCATCAGCGGCACATCCGTCTCGAACAACCGGACAAGTCGGCCGTAGCTGAACACAGCATCGATCTGGGACACCGCATTCAGCTTCAGAATACCTCCATCCTCGCCACCAAGACCCGCTATATGGATCGCATCATTAGGGAGGCAATTGAGATTGAACTGCATCCAGGAAATATGAACAGAGAGGGGGGGTTTTGTCTCAGCAAGTCTTGGAAGCCTCTCATCTGTTCTCTTAAAATCCCCCACCGGGATATGACGCCAGATCCAGAAGGCCACACAGGCCATGACCAACCAACATAACAACCCCCCCCCCTCAGCTTACGGGTTAGTGCCCAGCCTTTAACCTTGCCTTTCTCTTTCCCAACACAAAAACCATGCTTGTCCCAGCTCCCTTCCCCTACCCCTCCCACACTACTGGTTTCACTTGTATACTTGCCCTTCCCCCCTTCCTTCTCTGCTCTCACATAGCTGTGTATATTTCCAACACCAGTCTGCTTTTACCGGTTCACACGGTCTCTTCGCTTGCGGATTTCTTATATTTTTTTCTACCCTGAAGATGGAGGCGATACGTTCCTCCGAAACGTCGGTTAACACCACATATACACCGTGCAAAATCCCAGAAGACTGCTTTCTTCATAGTCACCGCCGTGAAAGCCTCAAATCTTACAGAATGTATGCTTGTCGACGACTATGAATTCATGTAAGCTTATTGGCCCCACTGGACTTGCATTTATTAGTCGGATACCATCAGATTAAACGAGCTGTGAAATCGAAACGGTACAAGGTCCGATTTTCACTGCTGGTTTGAGACAATCTTATCGATTTCCAAATATGTGTGCTACGCACTCCCCTGAACTTCTCACCTCACAGAATACTAAGGAAACATTTACAGCCCCACTTTGACAACGTAAGTATAATTTCGTTCAGCAAAGAGTGAAGTTATTGTTATACGGATAAATGTTTAACACGACAGTAACACAGTGGCGTTTACGCCATGTTAAGGTTATTGTACATTTTGGTAAAATTCATTCATTACTTGTGTGAGGTTTGTCGTAATAAATGTCACGCCACAGATGTAAAGATACTCGTGCAAGATGGTGAGTGACAGTCGACTCGTTATAGACCGTTATGGATGGTAAAGTTTGTCCTTATCGGTCCTTACGTTCTCAGTCCCTGTGGCCTTGGCAGGCGTTCGGTGCTAGATAAGAATTTCCCATAAACTGACTGTTAGATTCCTTAAGTTTGATGTGGAAAACATTCAGTAAATTCCGTGTATTTACGCTTTTGGGAGACACTGACGCATAACAGAACCCACTTTATAAAAGAACATAAATGCCTTTGGAAGCATGGTACAATATGGTAGAGTAAACTTCAGAGTACAACATTTCTATGTTCTCTAATGGCAGTCCATCCTTACCCATTCATGGTGGCACAGCAAGAAATTCTAACTCCTACTGGCAGTCTAACCAGCTACTAGTATAGTCATTGCAATAAGAACAGTCATCATAAACATGATGTAGATCATAATTTACTTACTTACTTACCTACTCATGGAGCTGACCCCTTCTGGAGGAGCTGCCAATTCTGCAGCTACTCAAGAATTTCCCAGCATTTTATGGAGCCCGAAGGTTCGTTACCATGTTCACAAGAGCCTTCCACTTGTCCCTATCCTGAGCCAGACCAATCCAATCCATACCATCCCATCCTACACCTTGGTCTTCCCAGTGGTCTCTTTCTTTCTGGCTTTGCCACCAATATCCTATGCGCATTCCTCGTCTCCCCCATTCATGCTACATGCCCTGTCCACCTCATCCTCCATGACTTTATCATTCTAATTATAATTGGAGAAGAGTACAAGTTATGAAGCTCCTCATTGTGCAGTTTTCTCCAACCTCCTGTCACTTCATCATAATACATTAAGTAATATCAGTAACATTGCCTTGCAGAACCCAATGGATGTAACAAAAGAGAGACTACCTTCTGATGATGAAAGCAATCAGATGCCTTCAGTGAATAATGTTTATATCATGCCTTCATCAGAAGATCTGTCTTACTTACTCCCTGTTCCTGAAGGTAAAGAAGAGATGGTAAGGCATGCTGTTTGTATCTGCTCACAACTTTAATACACACTGATTGCACTTTGTGCGAAATTTGAACATATGCCATGTTGTACAGTGGATGTATTAATCACCATTATTTATGGAAATGTGAACATCATGGCCATTTTGCCAGTTACACAACTAATGGATGTTACTATAAGTCTGTATAAGATATTAAGTAATTATGTAGATCAACAAATCCCAGAAATTGGAAGTGACAGTAATATCACCCTAGCCACACACATAAGAATATTGTTTAACAATTGTGCAACTCCAAGGAGGAGTAATTTCATATTTACTAGGGTAGCCTTGTAACCTACTCTGCCTGTCAAATATCATTATCCTTGTTCTGTGTACTTTAGTTCACTGTTTCATACTGCAGAAATATTACAATGGATTATAATTAGGTAACAGTGTTGATCATTTCCTGCAGAACTCTGGTGTGGTTCTCATCAATCTGCCCCTCCCATGTCAATGACAGGATAATATCTCAAACAGGTTATTAACACACTTTCAACATCCTTCACACTTCATTACTCCATTGATTCTAGCATTAAAGTTTATAAGCTGTGCAGTTAATGAAAAGTCATTAAATAGATGGTGAAACAAATGTCTTATGCAATCAAATTGCAGTTTCTTATTGACGAACTTCATTTGCCAGCAGATTATGAATGTAATAAAACCAGAACCCAAATCTGATGATGAGGCTAAACTGATGTCATCTGTGAATGGTGACCAATTCATTGACATGAAACGAGGGGAGATATCTGAACCATTCAGTTTTGTTACTGTGAAGATAAGGAGTGGTGAGTGCTAACATGTGTTTTGTTAAGTTTAATTTTCTGTATATGGAAATCCATGTCAAAGACATGCATCTGAGTATCTTTTTCATTGTGTTGTATTAAACACATTTAAAATATTTTAAACTCAGTAATTGCAAAGTAGCAGATTTATCCATGATGTTACTACATTCTGTTGTGAGTTATTGATAGGTGTCAGTAAATATGAGATTAAAAATAGGGACTCTGTAGTATAACAGTAATGAAAATTATGGATTTCCATTACATCCTGTACTGTTGTGTTCATGAACTCTTTCATTAAATTTGAATACTGAGTGCTGGTACTAGCTTCTAAGATTTGAAAGGTTGGACTTTAAAATGTAGAAGTGGTAGCTGGTCAAACACAGCATTTCTACATCTGTATGTCTTAAGAAACCATTCAGTTTGTTTCTGCTCCTCATAATGAACTCTGTACAGGAAGAACCTCTGTGTGATTGCTCTGAGATGGTGAAGTTTGAGATTGAACAAGAGCCAGCTGGAGAAAGGTAAGACTATTCCACATAACTTTCATTACTAAAGCATGCCTACAAATGGTAAGTATATGTAATATAATATAAGAACTTACCCTCAGTTATTATTAACTTTACCAAGATGCCCATGAACCTCTGTGACATGTAAGGCTTGAAGATACCGTGTTGTCTGTAAGTAGTAAATCTTCTCAGGGATCCAGGCTCATTGATGGAGAACAGAAAAACAACTGTTGTCTGATGATGTGTATAATACTGTGCATATGCTATCATTTGATGTGTGTAGTTGCTGGAAAATGTAATGTGACCCATTTGTGTATTTCTGTATTAGTATATTAAATCGCTTCAGACCAAATTGAAAATTATTTACAATTATAAAAGACAAGTCCGTCCAATGTGACTATTTCAGTTATCTCACTTGATGATTCACTAGCCTTGCATGTTTCGATCCATTTGGATCATCTTCAGAGGCACCAAACACTTTTTTGAAACCACTATCACAACAGTTGTCAATCAAATACACATGTAATGACCAAGTACACAATGTTCCATCTATCAGTGTTTGGTGCCTCTGAAGATGATCCAAATGGATCAAAACATGTAAGGCTAGTGAATCATCAAGTGAGATAACTGAAATAGTCACATTGGACGGACTTGTCTTTTATAATTGTAACTGTTAGTGTTGTAATCGTCCCCGGCATATATCCACACTTAGTAATTATCATTAATAAGTATTTCCATTACTTCGAATAACTACAACGAAAGGAAAGGTACTTGTATGTACCATCATTGCAAAGACCCCACACCTGCACGGGTTCAAACACTTCAACCGTTCGAATAAGATTAGGGGATTAGCAGTAGCATCAAGTCCACAGGTGCGACGCTCACCTGTTTACAGGAAGCCGAAACTAGGAAAA